CCAGGTGTTGATAGTAAAGGTCAACTGACTATTGACAAGTCCAAATTCATCCTCCCCCAGACAAGGAAATGAGGCTACTGGAGACAGAGCTGACACTCACCTGGCTGGGAATTCCATGCACCACCGTTCTCCTCTGGGCAAAAATAATGCCTACTCATTCCTGGGGAAGTAGGAATTTCAGGAACAGGAAACTCTTCAACATCATCATAATCATCCCCCGTGACTCTGACAGGCTGTCCCGGAGGCTCTGGAAATGGACAAGGACTGAGGCTGGACTGGGGGGTGCTGAGATCCTTCTACTGCAGAGATTCCAACAGCTGATATGTATAAGCTCTGGAGTCCAGGGCCGTCTTTGGGCCCTGGGATCAAAATATATTTCATCTCAATATTTTCAGAAATTATTTGATTCTTCCACATATCCTAGTATAGTTTCCTAACATGGCCTCTCATACCATAAAGTATCAACAAAAGCTGTTGTAATATGAAACCAGGTACACATTCAAGCACATGCTACAGAGCTGTTAATATAATGGGTAAAAATCAGTGCCTTGGAATGAAATGGGATGAAGAGAACCCACCTGCCCACATGCCTCTGAATCTGTGGGAAACACAGAGCAGGCAGGAGAAGGAAGCTGGGTACCTCTCACTCCCAGACAGATGATCCCTTGCCCTGCACCAAAGGGGGCCTGGGTTTCAATCTACTGATCCAAGGATGTTTTGATCTAAGGTTCCAATTTCTAGGATCCCTCTGACATGTCTCATGTCTCATCCCTAGAGCTATCCTTCATCACATGGGGAAGATCCCGGAGATACATTTTCCTCTCTCTGGTCCCTTGTTGTCAATAAGAGCTTTTGGGAGCTGGTAAGTACAAGCACCAGCAGTCCATGTGTTTTTATTTTTTTAATTTACACATACAAGAACTGGGGTACATCCAGAGGTGCAGGGAGTAGAGGATCACCAGAGACAGAGTACAGAGCAGTACAGGAGGATCTACTGAAATACACTGCTGAGGGGAGCAGCAGGAGAGACAGGAGAGGTCTATTGTGCCATATGGGTTAGCTCTTTGGTGGGGGGATGGAACCAGTGCTGCATTGGCTGCAGATAACTTCATAATGCTGCAACTTAACCCCTCTACCACCAGGGAGCCCCAGTCCATGGTTTCTAAGGCTTAGCAAAATCAATTTTTGGGGTGATGACTCACCAATATCACACCATCTCCTGTGCAAGCACACTTCCCAATGCTCGCCATGGAAATTCTCAAATGTCAATTTTAGATATTACTGAAAAAATACCCTTTGTGTCTATAAGAATTAATTGCATGTCTGCAAGTGATTAGAAGAAGCTGTGGATACAGAGAACTGGGTCTGATATTTCCTTTTCTGAGTGACTAGTGTGCAGAGAAAGCAAAAGGTTTTTGTGAAGAAGACAAGATTTCCTCCTGATCCTCCACAAACCAAAGGAAAATCAGTGTCTCCTACCTGGGGTAGATCCAGGGTCTCCCTTCTCCTCATTGTCCCCTGTGTAATACGGCAACTTAGTCACTGAGTCATCAGACAGGTATTCTGGTCCGGGGAGACAACATCACAAACAGAAAATGTTTGCCATAGTAGGAGGACCAGTGTCAAGGTTCAGAAGAAATCTTGAGGCTTCAGCGTTGTGGGGAGAGGGTTGGGAGTGCCTGCCTTGGGAGGAGGCTAAGAGGTTGAGTCTATAAATGTGAAGGGAACCCATTGTCAGCTCAGGAATAGCGGGGAGGGCATGGGGCACACCTGGGCTGTCCTCTTTTTCTGGTAGAGCGTAGTTATCAATTTCCTGGTACAAGGCCTCATCTATGACATCTTCGAAAGCAGGTGAGGCTGCAGAAAATGGCACAAGTTCAGAGAAAAGTCCTGGAGACAGTCCCTATACAACAGGCAAGGCACATGGCACTCTCCTGTGCCCATCTCTGGGGGTGCCCTCTGGGCTGCCAGAGCCCTTCTTGAGCTTTGTGAGACAGAGAGAGCTTTCCTGACACTGATTGCGATCCTACTCAATTCCCACTGACATTGTTTTCACAGTAAGTCATAATTTTTTAGAGGTTTTACTTTTAACCAAGGATTCAACTGTCTCAAATCTTGAAGGCTACTGTAGAGAAGGTGCTTTTTGCCAGACTGTAAGGGTGGACACAATACTGGGGCATTTTTCTTGGTATCATAACTGGCTCAACACCTTCCCACAACTTCCCTTTAGCATCCCCATGGCCCACCTTGGTGCTCTGCTCTCCCTCTGTGCAGCTGAATCCCCAAGATGACTAGGACCAGGAGGAGAAGGATCCCCAAGATGATGCAGAGGACCCCAGTCAGGGAAATAATGCCAGGGGCAGGAGCTGAGTCTAATCTGCTGGCTGAGGACAGAAAAGGAATATGAGGTTAAGAGAGGGTTGTAGGTCCAGGAGAGCCCTTCCCCACCCGCCCTTGTCTTGCTCATCCACTGAGTCCTCATCCATGAAGTTAGCACTCAGATACATGCCAGGGCCTGAACCCAAGATGTGCCCATGCAGATCCTGCCCTGAGATGTGCCAGTTGTCTTCTGCATCTGTTTCTAAGGGATTTTTATAAGGTGAAATGGATGAAGTTTTGGGGCATTAAAACTGCCAGAGTTATGCTACAGAACTGTAGCGCCTGAGCATGGGCCTTTCCTGTGCTGATATGTCTAATTTTCCAGCGTTGCGTAGATGCCACTGCGCAGATCCCTGAAAATGAGGGTATCTCCTCTATCTATGACTCAGTGAAGAAGAGCCATTTATTTCCAAGGGTCGGGGGGATTCTTGTCCTCTCACCTGGAGAGAAGGGGAGAGAGGGGTCAACTACTGAGCTGGGTGGGAAAACCCCAGGTCACACCTACCACTCTGGCACCTTGTGAGAGAGCACAGCTTTCAAGGCATCAGACAAGAGCCTCCAGTTGGCAGGCCCAGGAAGAGCCTTGAATCCAGGAAGAGCCTCGAGATGCCAGCACATGTCCTCTCTTCCGCCCCCAACAGGGTTGCCCACTCACCCGAGCACCTCACTCCCGCGTCCTCCTCATGCTTGCAGTCGCTCTGCCCCCAGGGAGCCGCAGGGCACTCCCACAGGGAGGACTCCCCGCCCCTGCACCGCACCTCGTCCAGCCAGATGCTGCCATTTCCAGGCCCAAAGGTCGCCCCCCGCGGGGCGTCCAGCGCCGAGCCGCAGCCCAGCTGCCCGCACACCACGTGGGCCTCGGCCAGGCCCCAGGAGTCGTCGCACACCGTGCCCCACGCCCCCGCGTGCCACACCTCCACGCGGCCCGAGCACGCGCTGTCTCCTCCCCGCAGGCGCAGCTTCTCCCTGTCTGCAAGGCCAGGGGACCCCTGTTAGGGCCCTGCTGGAGGAGGAGCCCCAGGCGGACCCGGGGAGCTGGGAGGGGCTGATGTACCTGTGCAGGGGGCTGCAGATGGACAGCTCTTGGGCCTCTTTTCTGCAAAAGCAAAGGAGTAATCCTGGGTCAGCCACAGGAGTAAGTGGTTTGCTCCCAAACTAGGTCACCTGCTTCAGTCCAAATGACAAGGGGAAACACGGGCTTCCTAGCTAATCTACTGACTGAGTGGCTGGGACTCTCCCTGGATCTTCACCCTCATCAGCAGCTGAAATTATTTTATCTTTGTCTTGTCTATCACTCTCCATGCTCCACAACTAACACACACAAACACACACACACACACACACACATACAGAGAGAGCTGCACCTCTGCTAGAGGGAGGACCCTGCACATCTGACTATATCTGTGCTCCTGCTCTTAGCTCAGTGCCTGGTGCTGCACAGGCCTTCATTTAATACATGTGGTGCAGAACCTTCTGTAAGCGCTGGGGAGAGGGGTTTGATCAATCTCAATAAATAAATAGATGAGTAAAATCTACTGAAGTGTAGTTCCTTTAAGTTATTATTTATGAGTAAACTATTATAGCAAGTACAAAACCGTATCAGTGCCTGTGGTACTAAAAAGAAGATATTTATGAAATACCTCTAGAATCACAGAAATAATTCATATTCAACTTTCCATTTATACTTTTTTAAGGAAAAATTACATAACAGATCAACCAAGAAAACTGGGATTCTGATATCCTCTTAAAAGTGATCAATGCAAAGAGAGATCTGGAGACCCAAGGTCCCTGCCCTCTCAGCAGTGAGAGTCAAGAGGATTAACCAATTCCTCCTTGAGAGAACTGTTTCCTTGCACCTGCCCATGAGAGGTTGGGAGGTGTCCACTCTGCTCTGCCTTCCAGCATCCCTGCCTTGCTCCCCCTATCTTCCTTCTCCTCTTGCCATGACAGAATTTTCTCAAAACCCAGTATTACACTGACCAGGAAAACTTCCTCCTTGACAGGACTCTTTCTCATCCTTCATCTCCATCAAAGCAGGACTTCTCCTCTGGCCCCATGTACACCCTCCACACATTTCCTATTCCTTGAGGCAATGAAACTTCAGCCTAAAGAGAGTTTCCAACCTGGGATTTCCTGCTCCATGAAGGCAGAGATTATATATTCTCTCTTCTCTGTCCTCTGACCTGGAATGCAATTTTGATTCTACAAGACACAGTTTACTCTCTGCCAGTAGACGGACCAGAAGTCTGACAAGTACAGATGCATTTCGATCCAAAAATTCAGGAGCATATGAGACACAGAGCATGGGGACCTGGCCCACTTATTTCAAGGTGTTCAGCATAGCATTTAGCTAGTCCTGATTCACTAGCCATTCCTTAGATGTTGATCAGAAGATTATTCACAGTTCCCACAAGTTCAATATAATCACCTGGTATTTTTCACATGCACTCCTGTCAGTACAAGTTTCCTTATATTTTCTTCTGAAGCAGGATTGGAACATGTGGATTAAATAATTAACCAACTTCATTTTAGAGACTTAACTTAAACTCATAAGCTAGATTTGAAAATAAACATCACTAATTACAGCCTACGGAGTGATGACCGACTCATAAAACAGTCACCTGCACATGTGATAGAAGCTTCCTCTCCTGAAGAACATGAACGGTATTTCCAAGGATCAGAAGGACACTGCCAGAGAGAGGTATCAGTTTTCTGACACTGGATTCCATCTACCCACCGGGGTCTAGACCCTTGCCTAACAACAACCAAAGAGTTGAGGGTCCCACTGTCCCCACAGCCAAGATGTCTGCAGATCACGGACAAGGTCATGGCATCCATGGGGCTGCTGCACACACTGCCCCAGGTCCCGTTGTAGAAAATTTCCAGCCACCCAGCACAGTGTTGGTCCTTGCTGACCATCCTGAGGGCCAGGTACTCTGAAAAAGGAAGACAGGGCACCATGAGCACCCCACTCAGTGCTCTGGGCCCTCTGCAGGGAAGGAACGCTGGATGCTTCTTCCTGACAACTACCCAATCTGTGAAAGCACTGTGGTGAGTGTGGTGGGGGCAGAATAAATCCTCCAAAGATGTCTGCACCCTGACTCCTGGAACCTGTGCATAACATCACCTAACATGTGCATATGGGACCTTGCGTGAAAAGAGACTGTGCATATGGGCCTAAGAGACAACCTTGGAAGGTGAGATAAACCTGAACACAGAGGATAACCAGGTGATCCCAGTGTAATCCCATGTGGGACCCACTGTCTGTAAAAGTGGTTTTGGTGAGAGAGAGAGGTGATTATGGAGAATGGTGAGAGATATGCAACACTGCTGGTCTGATGACCAAGGAAGGGGGCTCTGATGAGAAGTGCAGACAGGTTCTAGAAGCTTGGAACTGATTCCTTCCCAGGACTTAGAAGTGATGCAGCCCTGCTCACACCTTGATTTTAAACCAGTGAGATGGTGTTGGACTTCTAAACTACAAGACAATATGATGATACAATATGATGATAGAGTTGCTTTAACCACTAATTATGTGGAAATTTGTTACAGCAAGTAGAAACTAGTATAGTAGATCAAGATTCTATATTATAGGACACTGAAGAGTGAGCCCTGCTTGCAAATGAAAACTGTACATTGTGGCTCCATCAGATGTTGCTGAGAAGGAAGGACCAGACCCTCAGCTGCCACAGGAAGGAAGGAGACACCTAATCCCCATATGTGCTAGAGAGTCAGACACTCTGGAAGGATGATTCCTACCCCCCTTCTCTTTCAGACTCTGTCCTCAGTATCTCCCCCACACCCACACAATATACCCCCAAACCCTGGACAAGGTGCACTGTAGACCTGAGCAGATGACCCCGGCATCCTCCTTGTGCCAGCAGCCAGGGCGCCCCAGCCCGGGGATGGGCACTTCCACAGGAGGGTCTCGTTTCCTGTGCACTGTAGCTCCTCCAGCCAGATGGGCCCTGATCCCTCACCGAAGTGAGCAGAGACTGTGGCGTTGAGAGCCTCCCCACAGCCCAGCTGTCTGCACACCACATGGGCATCACGCAGGTCCCAGCCGTCATCACAGATGGTGCCCCAGGAGCCCTGGTGAAGGATCTCCACTCTGCCGGCACAGGGATGGCCTCCGTCCACCAGGCGGAGCTGTGTGCTGTCTGCGGAGAAAGTCAGGTCAAGGGGCATCTAAGCCGGAAGGAGAAGCTTTCCTGGTCCTGGAAGGCCCTCACCTGAGCAGTTGCCTGTGCCCTCCTCTGAGGCTGCAGAGCCTGCTGGTGGAGACGGGGAGTGGGTGCACAGGGGCAGCACCTGGGTCTGGTTTCCTGCATGGCAGTGAGGTCAGAGGGTTAGTGGGGTTGAAGAGCAGAAACTGAATTAAACTAGATGATAACCTAGTGGAGAGGTCTGAGATGGACACTCTAACAAGACACTCATGACATCGTTAATTTACAGTTCACTTTCTGTGTGAAATTGTGCCCCAAAAGACCAATATTTCTGTTTTTAAGACAAATACTGAGAATCACTAAGAATGAATTTAGAATATTGGGAATATGGCAATAGTGTTGAAGGATCGCAGAGCTTCCAGGACAGTGAGCATTTTGGAGCCAGATGCCCAGATAGAAGCAAAGAGCAGGGCTGAGCCTACTTTCCCTTGAGAACTTTGTCAATTCAACATTATAGATACATTATAGATGTGACTCTGAAAACCTCAGCAGAGATTTGGAAGCAGGAGTAGTAAAGTGGGAGATCAGAGGAGAATATAAGGAAGACAGCACAGGATGAAACAATAGAAAACATGAAAAGGAGCAGAAGAGATAGGGTGAAAGGTTTAAGTTGTATATTTATGAAGTTTTAGATCCTTAGATACACAAATGAAAGAAGGAAATGTGGAATCTAAAAATCCAGTATCACAATGGGACATTTCATACATCCTGGTGCTGTTTAAATACATCCACAAAATTGTTGCTAAGGTGTCCACTGAAGAGTGAGGTCTATACCTCCTTCTCTGCATCTCACTGATCTTCATGACTTGCTTGTAGGCAATGTGATCAGTGGAGGCAACACTGCTGATTCCCTGCACCAGGACAGAAATGTCGCGCAGCCTCCCCAGCCCCACTGTGGACACATGCTTTAAGGGAGCTGCTCTGCTGAACCTGTCTTGGGGAGCGCCACAGACAGGGGGTCTGCCATCTTGTCATTGAGTATCCTGGGTTCCCAGTTCAGGCAGCTCTGGCATGACTTCATCCCAGATGACTTCAGCTATGTGACACCGCCAGAGAGAACTGCCACATCACAGCAAAATAAAATGCAACTTTTGTTACTGTTGCTAAGTTTTTGGGAGAAATTGGTAGCACAGCCATAGTAGCGAGGATACTTGTCATGAGGCCTGAAAAGGAAGAGAAATGCTTTTCTTCTCCTACAGAGAATTTCAAATGTGTGTCTGCGGACTGTGCATGGATGTTGAGAATTCTTATTCAAAGTAGCTAAGACATGTTCCTTTGGGGTCAAGGCTGTAGGAAAAAGTAAGAAGGGTTTATTACCAGAAGGCTGGTGGGTTAGGAGGAACCATGTTGAGGAATTAAGCAATGAAGAAAATGAGATTGGAAGAAGTAAAATAAAATAATTGCTTTCAATGATCGTATTTTGAAAAATGTGTTTTCAGAAAACAAAAGTGAAAGATGTGTCTCAGTAACCGAGAGAAAGCTATCAGCAGGTATTTGGAAAATCTGAATTGTATGATTTGTATAACCTTCACCTCAAAACAGAAGAATACACATTATTCTTAAGAGCATGTAGTCCATTTATCAAAACTGGTTGTATGTTATGGTAAATGAGTTTCAGATGTTTTTCAAAGGAAAAACTAAGAGAAAGTCATAAAAATCATATATATTGACCACAGAGAATTAACCTAGAATGAAAAGAAAACTGGTAAAAAAAATAAAATAAAAACTGTATTAAACTGTACTTCTCATACAATAAAACACCAACACTAAGAGAACGTGGGGTACATTTTCACAAATACTTGTATCTACATAACCCACTCTTCACTCATGAATGAGTTTTCCCACATGCCCTGCTCTGAGAGACCCGAGCACCCTGAGTGCAGCTAGTCCCTCTCTCACCTGAGCAGATCACAGAGGCTGTGTTTCCAGGGCTGCAGTCAGGAGCACCCAGGGCAGTCCCAGGGCAGTTCCACAAGGAGGCCTCAGCCCCTGAGCAATGAAATCGGCCCCTCCAGACGGGGATGTCTCCTCCCCTAGAGCGTGCTCCTTCGGGGGTGGACAGGGCGACTCCACAGCCAAGCTGACGACACACAACATGGGCATTGGCCAGACTCCAGTGGGAGGTGCAGAGCACACTCCAGTGCCCTTAAATATTCATCTCCACCTGTCCCTCACACTGAGAGCTGCCGTCGCTCGTGAGCCGGACTTCGGTGTATGCTGGGAGGAGAGGACAGGGCTTCAGCCAAAGCTCATGTGTTTCTTACCCAGCAGAGGAAGCAGGGAGGGTGAATCCTGCTTGGGTCTCACCTGAGCAGACAAGGTGAACAGCCCCGTGGTGGTGGCAGGTGCCTCCAGGACAGGGCACCCTGGGGCACAGCTGGAGCAGAGGCTCCTGCCCCTCACACTGGAACTCCTGAGCAAAGACCCATCCATCTGACTCTCTGAAGGGCACACCCCCCAGCACAGACACAGCCTTGCTACACCCCAGCTCTGCACAGATGACGTGGGCAGTGGGGGATGTGAAGTTCCCGTCAGACACTGGAGTCCAGTCTCCTCTGGAATGCACTTCCACTCGCCCTGAGCAGCGTCCATCCCCTCCAGCAAGACGCACAGGTAATCCTAGAGAAAAGAAAAATGAGTGAGTGCTCATAGCCTCCAGTGGCATCGGAAACAGCATGTACAGACAATGGTGTGAATATCTTTCTTTTTTTTTATGTGAAACATTTTCTAAGTTTAAATATTAAATCATCTCTTTAAAAAACGAACTTTATATTGAATTGCTCTAGAGCATTCAGAATATATTCTTTTTTTAAATAAATTTTATTTTTATATTCCCCATACAATTGCAACCCCCTTATTTTGACCACAATCCCTCCCCTCCCCGCCCCCCAACCCCCATAGAATGTCTCTGGTTCATAGTTGTTTGTTGATTTTGATTTTCACTTTTTTATAGTTATTCATTTTCCTGGTCCCTTATTTAAGTTTTCTAGATTCCTGCTATGAGTGAGACAATCCAGTATTTTTCTTTTTCTTTCTGGCTTATTTTGCTGAGCATGATCCCTTCCAGCTCCATCCATGTTGCTGCAAATTGCAGGTGTGTATATCTTTCTCTCTAAGGATGGAGTGGAGAGAAAATCTGACAGAGCCAGAACTGCATTTTCATGAGCGAGTTTCTGAAGAGAAGAGGATTTGCAGGTTCAGTTTGATGAATAAATCCCAAGAACATGCACACTTTGAAGTGTTAGAAATGTGAATCCTTATCTAGGGGTCAGGAAGCTATAGGACCTGAGGATACGTTCTGCGGTGGGATCAGACTTGCCCCCAAGATGGACTAGCCTAGAGTCAATGGAGCCATGGCATTAGAGAGGCTAGAGGCCTGTCATCCAGACATGATGGCCACTCTGAGATTTCTGGGGTTAGAATTCTGGCCACTGTTGTTGCAGGGGCTGGTCCCCAAGAGATTGAGGATTAGGAAATCCACAAGTCCTGGCCCATGAGAACTGCCAGCCACACACAGACTGATCCTCAATGGAGAAAATAGACACTTTCATGGTTTCACATTTTATTTTCTTGATAATTTTTGATGGCAAGAAAGTCCAAGAATTTCTTAGGTGACCTGATTGTGAAAGAGGCTGTGCTCAGAGGAATGAGGATGCTCAGAAAGCTCAGAGTCATAGTGCGAGGAGGGCAGATCCTGGTGTCTCCCCTGAAGAACTGGGATTTGTCAGTGAACCTGAACCTCAATGGGAGATCATGAGACACCTGACCTTGCTGATCCCTTCCTACTACAGGTTTTCTTCCAAGACCTGGAAACGTAAAGGAATGAGAGCAACTGGTATATTTTAACCCTATCACTGTGTTAACTGTGTGGGTTATTCCTCTCCTGTGTGGGTTCTGGAATAAGCAACAGTAAAAAAAGGTGTACTTCTGTATTAGAATGTACTTCTCATACAATAAAACACCAACACTAAGAGTACATGGTACACATTTTCACAAATACTTGTATCTGTGAAATACTTGTGTTTCCAGAAATACTTGTATTTAACAAATACTTGTATTTCCAGAAGAAGGAAAGGAGGGAAGCATACAGGTCAAAATTTGTTTTTTTTTAAAGATTTATTTATTTATGCATACAAGAACTGGGGTATAGGCCAGAGGTGTGGGAGGTGAGAGGATTCATCAGAGACAGAGCGGGGAATAGAGCAGGCAGATTGACTGAAATACACTGCTGAGGGGAGCAGCAGGTGAGTCAGGAGAGGTCTGGTGTGATGTGGGGAGCTCCTTGGCTGGGGATTGAACTTGTGCTGCAGAGGCTGTGGATAACTTCATAGATTGCGTGTTAACCCCCTTACACCACCAGGGAGGCCCATACAGGTCATAATTTGGATTGCACCAACCTTACTAGGGATAAAGGGTACAAATATTTGGAGAAACTATTTGTCAAGCAAGATGTGAACATATTTTATCATCCTGTATTCCCACCACCACCACGTATCCCAGCAACCCTTTCTCATTTCTTTCATGTAGGCAAGCAAAAAACTATATTAAGAGCTACAATTGGATGGAAAGGAAAATTAAAAGGGCAGAATGTTTGTGTAGTGGGGTGTGGGTAGGGTGTGTGGTAGGTTATGTTGGGAGTGAATGAAGTTGAAACTTAATGAGGAAGACCACAGAAAATGTTTATGATCAGGGCCTCCCTGGTGGTGCAAGGGTTTAAGATGCACCCTATGAAGCTGGCTGTAGCACAAGCAGAATTCTTTCTGGTATAAGATTCTGGGTAAGGATGCAAACTGTGAAGCATGTATGATATGAATTCAGAAGAATGTTCTAAAAAACTAAAAAATATGCTACAGAGAGCAAAGAAATCAGAAATTAAAGAATTTAAGGACAAGTGGGTTCACTTACATGAGTATGACTGGTGAGATCATAGCGTGTCTTTTATTTCTGACCCATTTCCATACCCTAGAGAAACCCAGGGCATGATCCCCAATCTGGGCTAATGGGAAGCTGGCCATATAGACTTCTCATTCTAATTAAAGCACTTTTCTCATTACAGGAGGTTAGTTTCAATATTAATCTCATAAAATGACAAACTCATAATAAGAAAGAAATATTCTTGTATACTGTTATTTAATCTGACATATATTAGACACTCAAATATATGTTGAATAAGTTCTCAAACTATCAAGATAGAGCCTTCTGAAGCAAATTACTATTAATTCAGATCCATTTTCTAATTAATTTCAAAACTCACATGGAAGAAATTGTATGAAACTTATGAAATCAAAGATGTGAAGGGATTATATATCAAAACAACAATAGATAAGAGTGGGAAGGAGTGAATAAGAAATATCATCTCAAAGATGCACACAGAACCTTAGTATTTGTAAAGGGAATATTTTAAATCATTGAAGAAGCTACATTATTCAGCAAATAATGTTGAAAACTTAGACATAGATTTTAAATATAATAAAATCATATTTCCACTTGATATTAATCTCAAAAATAAATTTGTAGTAATTAAAAATCTATATATAAGAAATGAAGCAGAATAATTGGGAGAAAAAATAAATTGCATACGTTCTTCAAAAAAAAGTTGATTGTAAGGAAAACTAATTCTAGGCTTTTCTTATCAACATGATCTTTTCCAGCATATCTTCCAATGCTGACGTACTGATTTAAAGTCATTCACCTCTGTGATGTGACAGAAATCTTTTCATTCATCAGTGACTTGATAAGGACATTTTATGTATGATTTTGTTTTTTTTCAATTTTTTAAAATTTAATCATTCATTTTCTTACATCATTGTTCATTTTCGGAAATTATTTGATTTCTCCCTTCAGGTGTAGACCCCATAGTTCCACCACCAAATCACCCGTGCACCATCAAATAGTCTCTTGTGCTCTTCCCTCCCCTGTTTTTACCCCTCTCCCTCCTCCCCTGCTGTGACCTCAGATCTATGGTCCGCTTGCAAGTTTCCTTATTTCTGTGGCCCTTTTTACAGTTTCTCTATATTCCATATGTAAGTGAGGCCATCAGATATTTATCTTTTTCCTTCTGAATTGTTTCCTTTTTTTTTAAGAGTTATTTATTTATGCATACAAGAACTGGGGTAAAAGCCAGAGGTGTGGGGGCTGAGTGGATTCACCAGAGACAGAGTGGGGAGCAGAACAGGCAGACTGACTGAAATACACTGCTGAGGGGAGCAGCGGACAAGTCAGGAGAGTTCTGCTACATCATGTGGGTCACCTCCCTGGCCAAGGATCCAACTCGTGCTTCAGTGGCTGCAGATAGCTTCATAGGTTGCATCTTAACCCCTTGCACCACTAGAAAGACCCACCTTCTGAATTATTTCCCTTAGCTTAATCCCTTCCAGCTCCATCCTTGCTGCAGTAAATAGCATGAGTTTCATAGGAATATTTTAATACGTGGGCAAGACGGGTATGATTAGTGAGAAGGAGCATTTTAATATTCCAATAATTCCATCGATGTTCATCCAAGATAAATAGAATTTAGTTCACTACATAAAAACACCCAATTCTTTTTTTTTTTTAAAGAAGGCCCGTTTCTTTTATTTATTTATTTTTTTTTAAAACATTTATTCATTTATTTATGCATGCACTGGGTACAGTCAGAAGCGTGGGAGGGTGAAAGAATTCACCAGAGCCAGAGCGGGGAGCAGAGCAGGCAGAAGGACCGAAGTACACTGCTGAGGGGAGCAGCGGGTGGCAGGAGAGGTCTGCGCACCATGTGGGACCCTCCTCTGGTGACCGGGGAGCAGCCGGGGATCGAACCGGCGCCGCAGAGGCCGCGGGCAGCTTAGCAACCCAGAGCTCAACCGCTGTGCCACTGGGGAGGCCCAAAACCACCCAATTCTTTTGTGTTATTTGGGTATTTATTGGAATGTAGATGCAGTTTCTACACAAGTGAGATCCAGGGAATAACCTGGCTGACGTGGACCTCCTCCCTGAGCTCCTGACAGGACCCTCTGAAGAGAGTGAGTGAAATGTCAGGATGAAGATTGGTCTCTCACTGATAGCTCCTGACCAGCTCCTTGTCCATTTACTGGATATCATTGCCATTGATCTGACCTTTAAAAATAAAGGTCGGGGTATGATTCTAAAAATCTGTTAAGTGGTGAAAATGTCAGGGGATTAAAAAAAAGACAGTTTTACCAGGGGCCACTGAAGTTGGAATTAATCCATTTAACCTAACACCACACAATCCCAAAGAACCAACACAAGGTAACAACGCCCCCTTATATTTACAATGTGCACTGTAGAGAACTGGGCTTCACCTAGATCATAAATTTGAAGAGATGCAGACACACTGGTACCTCAATCAGAAGGCTCAGAAGCACCCAGACCCACACCAAACAATGTTTGTCACTTTTATTGATAAATATCAATGTGTTTACAAAAGAGACATTAACAAAAACAAAGAGACACTCCACTGATTGGGAAAAAATCTTTGCACCCCATACAGCTGTTAAGAGACTGATCACAAAGATATACAAAGAACTCACATGACTCAACACTCCCCGGTGGCGCAGCGGTTGAGCTCTGGGTTGCGAGGCTGCCAGCAGCCTCTGCAGCGCCGCTTTGATCCCCAGCTGCTCCCCGGCCACCGGAGGAGGGTCCCACATGGCGCGCGGACCTCTCCTGCCGCCCGCTGTTCCCCTCAGCAGTGTACTTCGGTCCTTCTGCCTGCTCTGCTCCCCGCTCTGGTTCTGGTGAATTCTCTCACCCTCCCGCGCTTCTGAATGTACCCAGTGCATGTATAAATAAATAAAAAAAGTAAACAATCCATTCAGGACTATAACCAAGATGAAAATGCATACATTGTCAAAAATGAAAAATGATGCAAAAAATATATATAATAAAATATACGGGCAGGAGAACTTAAAAGACACTTCTCCAAAGAGGAAATGCAAATAGCCAACAGGCATATGAAAAATTTTCAACATCCTTTATAATCAGGGAAATGCAAATCAAAACCTCAATGAGATACCACCTTACACTAGTAAGAATGGCACATATCAAAAAAACTAGCAAAAACAATGTTGGCGAGGATGTGGTAAAAAAAGGAACTCTCCTACATTGCTGGTGGGAGTGCAAACTGGTCCAACCACTATGGAAAGCTGTCTAGAGGTTCCCCAGTCTACTAAAAATGGAGCTACCATATGACCCAGCAATTCTACCCTAAGGGTTTACCCAAAGGACACAAAACCATGATTCAAAAGAATACCTGTACTCTATGTCTGTTGCAGCACTATTTACAATAGGAAAAACCTGCAAACAACCCCAATGCCCAAAAATAGATGACTGGATCAAGAAGCTGTGGCATATATACACAATGGAATACTATTCAGCAATCAAAAAAGATAAACTCATGCAATTCGTAGCAACATGGATGGAGCTAGAAGGGATTATGCTCAGTGAATTAAGTCAGAAGGGAAAAGAAAAATATCTGATTGCTACACTTATAGGAGGAATATAGGGGAACCAAATAAGATATCAGGGGGAAAATTAATAACAATACAAAACAAAACAAAAACAGACAATTACAAACCAGAGACATCCTGCAGGGGAGGAGGAGGGAGAAGGATGAGAGAAGGGAGGGAGGAGCACAGGGGATTGTGGTGATGTGGACAGGTGAATTGGTAGAGGAACTCTCTGGGGACTACACCTGATGGGGAGAGGGAAGCAAACATTTTTTAAACTAATGCCATTTGCTGCAATGTGGATGAAGCTAGAAGGAATTATGCTCAGTGAAATAGTCAGAAGGAAAAAGAAAAATATCAATGGTTTCACTTACAGGAGGAATATAGGGGAACCAACAAGATATCAGGGGAAAACTAATAGCAATACAAAACAAAACAGAACAAAAACAAGCAGACAATTACAAACCAGAGACATCTTGTAGGGAGGAGGAGGGAGAGGGATCAGAGGGAGGGAGGGAGGAGCACAGGGGACTGAGGTGATGGTGCACAGGTGCATTGGTGAAGGAAATTATATAGGGATTACTCATGGGGAGGGGGGAAAGCAAACATTGTTTAAAAATGAGCAATGATGTAAAAAATATATATATAAAAAATTTTAAAAAATGAAACTGAACAATGATGTAAAATATATATCAATCAATAAATTAAAAATATATGTCAATGTGTTTAAAGAGATGTAAATAATACTGGACAAGCTGAGCACTTTGTCCTTATTTTAGGCCAGAAAAGCAGAACCCAGGGATGTTCTGTCATAGATTGGCTGGTTTGGGATTACTGACTTGGCGCACACTCTGGCCTGAAATAGCTGCTTTGGTGACTATTTTATGCTCCTGACAGCAGCTCCACTTCCCAGGTTCCTGCACAACAACTCATCTTCCTTCAGACCCAGTGTTAAGTATCTCTGTTCCTCTCCTCTTTGTATTACACCCCTACTCTTGTCTCATAGGGGTGACCCCACTTTCCAATGCAGCCCATGTGCAAAAGAGACATCACCTGAGTCATAGCTGGGATCTCAGGGACCAACCTGAGGAATCTATTCTCTGCATCCAAACCTGAGTCTGGAGAGCCCCAATTTTCCACACCTCAGCTTCAGCTTAGGGCTGTTTTGGTCAGAGGACATTCCCCTCTCACTGTTAAAGCCTTAGGATTTGGTTTTCTCTAGAGAAGCGAGGGAGCAAGAATGACCAGATTTGTTGTCACCACCTTTCTTTCCTTATTCCTTCCCCTCTGACCAAGATGCCTCCTCTGTCCTCCCTGCAGCTGTGACTCATCTGCTTCAAAACCAACTCTCAAGGCCTCTGACCAGCAGCCTCGCCTGCCTCTGATCCTTCCGGGTCCCCATCTATGCCTCCAAGTTCTGACTGTTCTGTTGGAACAGAGCACTGGGTGCCTGAGATGTGGGAAATGTCTCCCCTGGATGTGGCATTTGGCTACCAGGGAGCCACAAAGACGAGGTATCTGTTTTGAACATAAAACTCGCTCTCCACCTTGGGACAATGGGGCTGCCCCTCACCTTGAAAGCCAGAGGTGGTCATGGTGACCTTCCCCTCAAGGGCAGCAAAGGGCAAGGAGAGTGGGTCACGGGGAGTCCAGAAATGGGCCAAGATTCAGCCTCTGATTGGGAAATGATGAAACAGAGACAGGGCAGCTTCAGAGGAGGCGCCTCCAAATTTAGCACAGGTTTGCTACCTGAGTAGAGAGAGGCCATATTGAGATGCCCTTTCATATTGTTTGATTCAAAATACAATTGTCATTTTAGAGCTTGCCAATTTCTATGAACTGTTGTAAGTGCTGGGAATGTGAATTATAATAAATCAATGTTCTTATCTCTTCAGGAGGTTACTTCTAGTAGAGGAAAAATAGCCAGTAGACAGTTCTAAGTCCTTTGAAAAGATTAGGAGACACATGGACAGCACAATGCAAAGAGAACTGCTGCTTCAGATGGCGATTTATTTATATGAATCAACCCCACTCCAGGCAAAATAAACGTTGTGGTCAGATATGTCTTTGTCTGGCCTCTTGCTGTAAAGACACTCTGTGTCCTCAGGCAGAGATGGCATCTCCACATACCCCTGCATCCTCATGCTGCTCAGGGAACCCCTTATGTGTCTTCTCAGCTCCCCAGCACTCCTCTCCTGCCCAGCCAGTTTAAATTGCTTCCACTCCTTGAAAAGTTGTGTTTGTCCCCTTAATCCATTCTTCTCAAATCCCCAAAGGCAATTCATTTTGAAACCATGGAATAAAACAAATCTATGAAATTTCTTTCCATAAAACACACAAACTAACATTTTATTTCCTTCACTATTGACTTGTCAGTGCATGGCTACTTAGCCTCCAAATTTGAGTTTGCACAAGTGTTTTGAAAGAAAATAGAGTGTATTTTCCAGCAGCAATGAGTAAGAATCTCTGACCCCAAGTATTTCATCCACAGCTTTTTGATTTTACTGGCAAAAGAACTATGAATGTTTATGCTTAAGTTTAGAAAGGAGGCACGAAATTTGGCACAAATCCATACAACCCTCTGATTTGTTCAGTAATATCCCCTGTGTCTCTGCTCTTAATAACCCAGTTTAAAACCAGATCTTGCATATCCATACAGAAACTATTAACCAGGGAATGTGCATCCTCATTCTGTTCCTCCCCCTAATCGTCTCACTGAACAAGGAGAGTTAGTGTGGAGATTTACATAAGTTTACTCTAACAAAAAGTAAATTATAAAAGTATCATGAAGATTGGTTTTAATCAGGGTGATAATAGATTAAGTTCTTTTGTCAGGTAAGACCAATGCATAAAGAAGGATGAGCAGTTTCTTTAGGAGTAAAGGATGCTCATCATTCACAGAAGCTTTGTGCCCTTGGGACTATGGAGAGAGGGGATGGGTCTCAGACCTCTCTGGCCATCTTTCTCTGCTGTCGCAACAGACACCAGCCTCCTAGGAACTTTCCATTCCCTCAGCCCCTGAAAATGCACTGACCATACCTGAGCAGATGACTCCTGCATCCTCAGAATGAAGGCAAAAGTTGTCTCCCCAGCCCCGGGACTGGCACTTCCACACATAGGACTCCTTTCCTCTGCACCGCAGATCGTCCAACCAGATGGGCCCTGATCCCTGCCCGAAGTGAGCAGAGACTGTGGCATTGAGGGCCTCCCCACAGCCCAGCTGTCTGCACACCACATGGGCATCATGCAGGTCCCAGCCGTCATCACAGATGGTGCCCCAGGAACCCTGGTAAAGGATCTCCACTCTGCCAGCACAACGATGGCCTCCGTCTACCAGGCGGATCTGTGTGCTGTCTGAGGAGAGAGTCAGGTCAAGGGGGTGCTTCTAACACAGAAAAGGAATACTTCCCTGGTCCTGGGGGCCCTTCACCAGAGCAACTGGCGGTGCCCTTCTCTGAGGCTGCAGAGCCTGCTGGTGGAGACACAGTGCTTGTGTAGGGGTAGCACCTGGTTTCCTACAGCAACAAGCAGAACAGTAGAGTTGAAAATAGGAAAGAACAAGAGAAATGTAGCTGAAAACAACAGATAAGCCAACTGAGAGAACAGCTGTGACCAGGTCCAGTCAGAGTAACACTAATGTAACGGCATCTGACAAGATGTCCCGAGGTGTCAGAATCTCTGCCCTGAGCAGTTAAATGAGTGCAGAGTGGCTGTAGAGGGCTTGTAGCTGGTGGATTCCTTATGTTACACCCATTTCCATGCTATTGAATTAAAGGGAACTGTGGTGAGCTTATCAAAATCCTCATAGGTAGCCAGGAGACTCGTTCTAGTCAGAGCTGTTCTTGCCATAGTCACTCACAGCTGAAGAATGAAAGGACCATGAGACAGGCCAGGATTTATCCAGAATATTTCATTTATGGTTCTAGGCTCCAGAATGAATTTCTCCTTGAGTAGATGGGGCCACCTCATACGGGAGACGATGTCAGATGAGACTAACATTGGCAGAGACACCGGGCATCACACATTTGCTTCTTCCCTAAAACAGTATAATCTCTACTTGAACTTCATTGCTATTTTTTACTCAAAATTTGGAGTTATTTAGTGTTTAGGAGGAAATATAATGTATCTCTAACCCCACCTCAGAGTAGAATCAGGTTATATTCCTGAGCTGAAAACACTCAAACAGATCCACTTTTTGTCAAATACAGTCTCTATATTATTATTTTCTCCTTTATATGTAAAAAAAAAGATGCACCAAGAAGTTAATGTGTCATTATTGCAATTTAAGTAAGGATGAAATAGAGAATAAAACCTAGAGCTTCTAGTAATAAAATAAAAAAATAAAAAAAATAAAAAATGGAGGAGTGGTAGGTTTTATTCTCCATTCCATGACCAACTTAAAGTAAGCGCTGGCACTTGAGTGTGAAATAGGAGATATCAGGCCCACAACATAAAGCAGGTTTTCTTGCAAATATTTGCCAAGTGCACCTGTTTTGCAGGACAGGAAGCCAAAGAGCTATGTCAAAACTCTTGGAAAGTAGAGTGGCTAGTCCTTTATTCTCTTGGTGCTGAGCTACCAAAATATCCAGGTTCTCAGCTGAATTCTGAGTTCCCAGAATGCCCTTGCCACAGGCACAGAGACAGGCAGAGGTAGACTGATGTCACCCAAACTGCCAGCAAGTGTTGTCCCAGCTCAGGTCTGGGTTACAGTTAGATATCTGCGTGCTCAGCAGCCCCAGCCCCACCTGCCTAGCTGAACAGAAGATGATGCTTCCAGGTGTCAGAAAAGATATCTGGAGTTTCTTATTTTCCATGCACAATTTTTTTTTTAAGATTTATTTATTTATATAAGCACTGGGTACAGTCAGAAGCGCAGGAGGGTGAGAGAATTCACCAGAGCCAGAGCGGGGAACAGAACAGGCAGACTGACGAAGTACACTGCTGAGGGGAGCAGAGGGCGGCAGGAGAGGTCTGTGCGCCATGTGGGATGCTCGCCAGGCGGCCGGGGATTGAACCAGCGCTGCAGAGGCTGCGGGCAGCTTCGCAGCACAGTGCTCAACTGCTGTGCCACCAGGGAGGCCCTCATGCACAATTTTTAATATTAAATAAAAAGTGAAATGGCATGGAGAAATATGGGCTCACATGACATAGTGAAAAAGAAAACAATATAAGTTAGAAACACACATAGCTCATGAGAGTTTTTTCACTAAGAGTCATGAATTTAGTAAAAAAAAAAGGGGGGGGTGAAGAAAACAAGAACAGTTAAAAAGGAAAAGAACTTAACATAGAATTGTAAATATATTAAAGATATCAAAGTAACAGTTTCCAACTGGGAAGGAGGAAAGACAGAGACAGAGAACAGTGAAGTTATCTTTGAAGAAATAATGGTTGAGAATTTTAAAAAATGGATGAAAGCTATAACTCACATTTTCAAGAAGCTCCAAGAATACCAAGGAAGCTGTGAAATCCCAAACTCCTTGTAGGTGGATAAAAATCAAAGTAAAAGAGGAATTTTTTTTTAAAGATTTATTTATTTATTTATACAAGCACTGGGTACAGTCAGAAGCATGGGAAGGTGAGAGAATTCACCAGAGCCAGAGCGGGGAGCAGAGCAGGCAGACTGACGAAATACACTGCTGGGAGCAGCGGGCAGCAAGAGAGGTCTGCGCACCATGTGGGACCCTTGCCAATGGCCGGGGATCAAACCGGCACTGCAGAGGCTGTGGGCAGTTTCGCAGCCCAGTGCTCAACAACTGTGCCACCGGGGAGGCCCAAAAGAGGAATTTTTTTAAAAATAAAAAAAGAAGGCCTAAAAATGGAGAGAAAGGGCATATAGAGCAGGTGAGTCGATTAAAAGTAAATGATACTCACTCAATGACATCAGCATTTGTATTTAAATTAAAAAGAACAGATACTTCAATTAAAAGAAAATCAAGATATTATTATAACTTTTTTATTTTATATATTTCTTATATCATTTTTCATTTTTTAAAATGTATGCTTTTTCTTCTTGGTTATAGTCCCTGTAAAATTCCCACCACCCTTATTTTGATCCTACTCTGTTTCCCCTTCTGTAGTGTGTCTCTGGTTTATAGTTGCCTAATTTTGATTTTTACTTTATTATAATTAGTAAAAGCAAATTAATATAAAGCAACAAAATTCAAGTAAATGTTACTTGTAACATACAAGGACAAAGAAAGTTGAAAATAAAATGATGGGGGAAATATCTATACTATGGAAACATTGTTAAAACACACATTGATGAGTATCCTTTAGAGAGATGAAAAAGAGTAGGTAAATGGGAAGAGAAATCCGAAATATTTCTGACTCTCCTATGAGCCAAGCCTCTGTTAAAACAGAGCCTTCACATTCAGAAAGGGGGACAGGGAGAGGCAGGTCCTGACTGCCTGTGCCCAGCTTAGGGAAGAGTCAGGGCTCTTTGGCACCTGGCACCAGGGCTGCAATTAAACAAGGAGATGGGGCAACTCGTGTGTACTGATGCCTAATATATGAGCTTGTGCTTGAGTCATATACTCTTACAGGATGTTGTCTCTGATGAGAAAAAATGCTTGTCAGAGTGAAGTGTGATTTCTTCTTAGTAAAATGTATTCATTGCTCTCACACCCAGAGAGGCCAGAATGGAATCAGCACCAATTGCATATTTCATTGTCAAAGTGCACTTTCTACACCTAAGAACCTGCAAAGCCTGCAAAGGGACAGCTGTCCTCACATGTGACCATGTCCCTAGGAATGGAAGTTTCAAGAAATATAAGTGAGGCGCAGACTACTATAGAGAGGAGAATTTCCCAAAGAAGAGTCAGAAGACACTTGAGTGGAGGGGCTTGAAATCAGGAGGAAACAGGGAACCGGAAAGGGGTGGAGAGGGAGGAGCATCTAGAGCAGCCAGGCCCAAGGCCCACACCTGAGAGACAGGCTGACCAGGATGTGCTAGAGCATTGTCACATCAGGGCTCAACCCTGATATTGTGGGTTCGGCTGTTCAGGGGCCAGTGGAGAGCAGATGTCATGTAGGGCCTGGGGGGAACTACATGGAGAAAATCCACCTAAGGACATTCACAAGCTCAGGTCTCTTCCTCAACAGCAGACCCTCAGGATGTCACAGACATGATTGAGACCCCACTTGGGCAGAGAACACTAACCAAGATGGGATATCCTGGTCTCAGAGGCCACAGCCCTCTGCCTGCAGTGCTCATCTCAGTCCACCCAGGGACACCCACATTTGGAAACAATTTTCTGCTGCTCCCTGGGGTGGAAGTCCATGGAGCCAACAGGTAGGAAGGGAAACACCACAGGCAGGGAGACAGAATCCTACCAGCACCCAGTGCTGGGAAAGATGGCAGTGAAGCAGAAAAACGTTTGAGCTGTGGGTTTGTGGGGAAGAAAAAAACAACTCATAAGCAGGCTTAGATTGCAGGTGCAGGGTTATCTAGGGGTGTAATTAAAGTTTCTATTGGGAGGGTTTTCTTTAAAGGCATCCATATCTGCCCTCATCATAGACAGTACACACACATCACCACCACCACCATTTCACCACAATCCAGCCATCTGCCGTAGAGTGCGTTTCTGTGATTCCTTTCTAGATAGCTGATGTCCACTGGCAGACATGCTCCTGTTCATACATTCACCCTTCACATGCTCTTCAAACTCCCCTTATACACCCTTCTCTCTCTCTCTCTCTCTCTCTCTCTCTCTCTCTCTCTCTCTCTGTCTGCTCTCTCGCTCTCATCCTTAGGCTAAAGGAGCAGAAACCAAGAATCCTGTTGGGGAGACACAGTACTGACTGCAGGCAGGAATCTCAAAGATGCAGCCTCAGGAAGTCACTCATAATCCATTCGAGGAAAACTGGGAAGTCATCAGACATTTTCATTGTTTTGAAATGTTACTGAGGAGGACTGAACACAGATTCTGGACACTCAGAAAACAAGCTTAGAATATGGGCAACACCTCACAGCCTAACTAGAAAAGCAGAACCCCCTCAGGAGAAAAATGAACATACGCTGTCACTAAGGATGACATTTGGTCAAAACCAAGGGGTCAACAGAGAGGAGTTGCCTTTGCAATCCCAGGGCTCACCCCCAGAGCCTGAGAACTGATCCAGCATCTCTGCTGATCTTAGGGAGGGAGGCTCCTCTTACCTTGGGCGCTCGCTAGGACAGCAGAGAGGAGAACAGTAAGTCCTGGGAGGAAGCAATGTCCATTCATGGTAGTTCTAGTCCTCATGTTAATAGGTAACTGCCTCAGTTTCCCCAAATATACAAAGAAGCCCCTCAGTCCTTAATGAGGGCTCCCTCTCCCAGGAGGGGTTTATATAGTTCCACCCCCTGACTTTGCCTCTTCCGGGAGCCAATAGAAACCCTGTTGAGCATCGTCCCTGCATCAAACACTCCATAAATGGAAACTATCTGAGGTTCAAACACCAATTAGATGCTCTATCTGAGGTGTCTCCTTATATGAGAGGTGAGTTTTTCTGACACCAGGAGTCATCAGTCGCAAAGCGGAAGCAGAAAAGCTAAATTAGAGAAAGATGCGTGACTGTCTCTCCCCCCAGGGTCTGGTTCAGTGACTGATGGTTCAGCAGCTGGGAGGGGTCAGGTGTTGCTGATGGTTCTGGGTCAGCTCCACCACCCATGGGCCCAGGTAAAGAGGACTGTTGCTAATGAAGCTACGTCTCCTGTGTCAACCACCCAACATGTTGTGGCTGCAAAGAAACAAGAAGAATCTACGATGAGAACAAAAAGCCAGATGAGTAGAAAACTGGTTTAGAATGAAAAGTTCTTGGGGGAAAAAATTGAGATCGGCATTAAGGGAACACATCACTAGCCTTATAGGGTAGCGGCTCCCCTTTCTCTACTTCTGTTGGTAAGAGAAAGCCTCACGACATACAGGGCTCTAGATGCAACTGTATAAAGTCTGTCTGTCTTTCCTTCCTTCACTTCATTGCCCCCAAAATTACCATGGCCAGTATAGACACTTCACTGGGAATAAACTATACTTCTCTGGGACATGGTGGGACTACACATTATAACATAACCACAAAATTCACCCCCATTTCACAATGTGGCAATCTGCACCTGGCAGCCCAGTCTGTACTGGCTAGTAAGGGGGTGCCCTTCTGCTCCAGCGTCCTCAATGTCGACATTTCAGTCCCTCTGCTTCCCCTTCCTCCTCTCATTTTCGTATGAGCCACTTAGTCAACTTTCATATTCTCTTCTGGCCTCCTTGAGGCCAAATAAGATGGTATCATTATAGTGCTTGGAAATGGAATCTTTTGGACACAAATTGCTTGAGCTCATCTCTGCTACAAAGAAAACAGCCTTCATCATTTTACCACTCAACAATTTTTTTTATTAAATCACCAGCCACTGCAGCATGAGTTAAATTCCTCAGCCGGCCGGGGAGCAACCCACATGGCACATCAGACCTCTCCTGATTCGCCAGCTGCTCCCCTCAGTAGAGTATTTCAGTGTTCTGCTCCCTACTATCTCTGGTGAGTCCCCTAATCCCCCACACTTCTGATTTATACCCCAGTTCTTGTATGCATAAATAAATAAATTGTTAATAAAATAAATAAATAAAATATAAATGATGAGTGTCACTGTGTCTATCTAAGGTATAGGTATTGATACATTTATACATGTATGAGGTATGTATTAGTATATATATGGATTTATACATATATGTGTATCACATATGGAGGTGACTACTTACAAGTGTTAGTTCACACTGTTATCACATCCCATGATTATCATGTTTTTTGTGGTGGAACAACTAAAATCTCAGAGCAACCTTAAAATTTATAGTATCATGTAATCTATAATCACCACATTGTGCATTAGACCTCCTGGACTTATTCATCTAGTAATTACAATTCCTAGCCCTTAAAAAAAGCATCTCTCCAATAGCCAATAGCCCATCCCTGATAATCTCTACACTTTGTTTACACAAGTTCAGTTATTTTTAGATTCCACATACTGGTGATCATACACTATCTGTCTTTCTCTGTCTAATGTATCTCAATTAGTATAAAGCCTCATCGAGTCTCCCACTGAGCATAGTGCTGGCTGTGGGGTTTCTGTGATCTTATCAGAACCCCGATATTTCCAGTTCCTAATTACTAAAATAACATGACAGTGTCTTATGATTCAATACTACATATTGGGGTGTTAAATGCTTCACCTTTAATTTTCATTCTGGTTATACTGTTTCTTTATAAGCCAGGTTCTTAATTTTAATAAGTTAATAAATGCAGTGTATCAAGTCTTTTCTCTTCCACTTATTCTTATGTTCTTTAAGGAGATCATTGTTTATACTCTTTGCTTCCTCAACACACAAAAGTTATGGGTAGCTTGACCACCTTATTTAAAAGAAACTGATAAGACTAGAAGCTGGGCCTCCATCCCTGTGAAAAACAGCCCACTCACAGTTCATTCTTCTTCTGTGGTAGGAGGGTTCTGGGTAACAAGCTCCTCCTCCTTGGCCAACTCTGAATTACACTAGATTTTCCCTAAGTCCTGAGTGTTGGCAAAATCTCTGCTGAGGTTTTCAGTATCTGAGTGATAACACTGTTGACAAACATGTTGGGGTGAAAGAGGCTCAGCCCTGCTCTTTGCTTCTGTGGGAGAATCTGGCTCCAAAAATCCTCACTGCCTTGGGAGCTCTGCAACACTTTCAGATACTATTGGATTATACCACCTCTCTAAGTTCATTCTCAGTGTTTGGCCTAAATAAGAAACTTTGGCATTGTCAAAGACAGAACTTTCCACACAGAAGGTAAACTCTAAAATTAAGATACCATGACTGCCTCATTATAGCATTCATCTCGGGCCCTACCACTAGGTTATCATGTAGTTTAATTCCGTTTTCTGCTCTTCAATTCCACTAAGCCTCCCACCACACTGCCACAGGAAACTAGACCCAGGTGCTGCCCCTGTGTACCCACAAGCTGATCCTACCAGCAGTCTCAGACCAGGGCACTGCCAGATGCTCAGGTGAAGGGCCCCCAGCACCAGGCAAACCTTCTTCTGGATTAAATGCCCCCTTGACCTGACTCTCTCCTCACACAGCACGCAGCTCTGCCTGGTGGACAGAGGCCATCCCTGCACCAGCAGAGTGGAGATCCTTCACCAGGGCTCCTGGGGCACCGCATGTGTTGATACTTGGGACCTGCCTGATAACCATGTGGTGTACAGACAGCTGGGCCGTGGAGAGGACCTCAGTGCCATGGTCTCTGCTCACTTCAGGAAGGGATCAGGGTCTTTCTGGCTGAATGAGGTAAGGTTCCTGTGGCCCTGAGAATCCCTGGAGGCAGAGTGATTTAAGCAGGAAGCCTGCAAAACACTGTCTTAAAAAAATAACATTTGGGAAGCATAATCTGACTATTTTAGTTATCTGACTACGAAGTTTTAATCAGGATATATTAAGATTAGAATATTTTTCTGGCTTATGCAGTAAAAATGAAATTTTTGGCCTAGAAAAATATCCCTAGAACATGGAGTATATGGATCCTCTATTTAGGAACCATCAGACTTTCAGGTGAATAGGTATTTAGCTCTTACTTAACTACCCTTTACTGTGATTTTACCTGGTCACCTCATATACCCTTAGATCCCTCAGCTCAGACGCGATGCCCCAGGCGTGGGTTATGATGAAGCTGAAGATGTGCCAGTGCCTGAGGCTTCTTCTGTGTCTGGGATGAGTGAGGGGGAGGTTCCCCTACAGGAGGAGAATGTGTTGAGGGTCACTCAGACAGGTGAGTGGGGTAGTTCATCTGTGATCTTTTACCTCTGTCCTGAGTAGGATGATTTTGAGTTCCCCCCAGGCCTCTCATCCTGCATATTCAAAATTTGTATGACCTAATATATTAACAGCAAAACCTCTACATTATCTTCCTTAATGCTGTCAGGTGTGTTGATATGGAGGAAACATTTGTACTTTTGGCATCATAACTATATCTGAAATATGTGTTCTTAAAGATTTGTAGATGAATTGAGTGTGTTTCCCAATTCAGACAATGGAAATAATCCTGGTAACATTCTTATACTCTCTTGTATGTAAAAGGTAGTTGGAGATTTTTTTAAAATAGTGCAGTGTAAGAATTAATAGGACATTTGGGGGATGTGAGACGGACAGTGAACACATTTTAGCACTAATATGAGCAAGTCATTATGTGGTGGCCTTTAAAAATAAACCCCTGGTGTTGGACTAAAGACTCAGAATTGTGGAAGCAACGAGCTGTTCTACTCCAGATATTTCAGTGGACAGAGAAGACGCTCATTCTCATGGAAGAAGCTCTTGTGACTGTGGAACCGGGAACTGTGGAGAACAGAAGCTCCTATGATGGTGTCTGCGGTCTTTGGAAACACACATCAAGGCCATCACCAGCAAAGGCAGACTGTCAGGAGGAGCTGAGCTTCCTCTGGATCTGCTCTCCTGTCTCCTTCTCTGTGCAAATTCAGACCTGGCCATTGGGAAAGGAAAAATTCTCACCTTCCTTTTTATGATTCTCTTTGCTGTTGGGTCAAGGTCTTACTGAATTGATGAACCAGGGCACAGGTCTTCATAGAGCACCTCTGAGTGGCCACAGATATCTGATCATTCAAAAACCATATACACTGGGTTTTAGGAGGTTTTCCTGATATATCCCTTGTTGTAACTAATTTGACATACCCTGAACCCCCTGAGTGTTACTGGGCCTTCAGGGATGTTTTCTCATCACCATTCATTGGTCCTTCTCCTCCCTGAGCTACTGTCCTGTCCCCTTGTCACAGTTTTGATAAAACATTGCTTCACCATGTTAGACTGTTCTCTGCAGGTCACTAAAGGAACAATTGATCCTGAGAAAGGAAAAGGCAGTTCCCAGCTGCTCCCTGGGGAGATAAGGGGCCCTGCACATGACGATGTTGAATGTTCATCCCCAGAGCATCCTCAGTGCTTTTACAATGATGTTCTTTAAAACTGAGATGAGGCTACAGATGTTCTAAATGTGTGTATTCTGATACAGTGGTAATGGCCTGTATTTATTTATATAAATGGCTCAAAATTAAACATTCTGTGTAAAGTACTTTTGATATTGCTATTTTAGTAAGTTTCACCCTAATTGCTCTTACACTATTAGTCCTCAAACACACTTTTCTTCAAGGAAATAGATGAGTGACCTGACTGTTTTCTCACCTCCTCACAGGCCACTCAAGGTGTACTTTGCCCAGATTCATGAATGTTCCAGGTATCACTTTCTTAGACAAGGGACTCTAACTTGATCCCTAACTGCAAAAGAACATGACCTGTTTAGAGAAAACTGACAGGCTCCATATGCTGGTCCTGAAAATGACACTAAATAATTAGTTAAAGAGGCTAAAGAGAGAAGCCGAGCTCCAAGTGTGGGCAGTTTCATGGACTCAGCTCAGGGCTTTGCGACTCTAATGCAGCTAGTGTCTTCCAAATTTTGATAAGGTAGTGCTTGTGGAGCATTTGAAAAAAAAAAATTGTACATGTAGTTGGTGCATTTTGGAAAAGTTTTCCATTATGTCATGGACATTCTTGATAGTACATATCTTATTTCCCAAAGTACTTATTTTATGAAGATCATAAAACCTTGGTGAAATCTTCTGAAGTTAGAAGGCTGTAAATGTTCGCCATACTGATTTGCAGATGACTTATTATAAAATGTCATGTAGCTCATGATGAACCAGAAATGTTTCCAGACACAATGTAATTCCAGAAGAATTTTATTGTTTGACTTGTCTGCTTGTCTCCCTCTAGCCCTTCCTCCCCTGATCCCTCCAATTCTCTCCCTTGTTACAACTGAAGTAAATAGGTGTGGATGATTGGAAATGGAATAGGAAGAAATAAGCTACTTCAAAAGGGTTTGTAAAGGTGAAGGTTGATACCATGGGCTTAAATAAATGTACTCAGAAGAGGGAATAGAAGAGTTGTTCATGGAAAAGGGTAGAAACCATCAGGATTTATGAAGACCAGGATGTGCAATTTCCTGGAGAAAGGGCAGATTGGGGATGTTGGAGAATAAGGGAAGAGAAGGGCATTGTAGGGAGATTTTTGACATTGATATTCCATAAGCCTGTTGGCAAAATTACAAGAGCTGCAACCATTTCCCTCCTGCCTACTCACCCCATTCACTGTGACTCTCACTTCTGGGTTTAGCAAAGGAGGAGTGGATTTTTTGAAATATTCAGTGAAGTGTTTCCACATGTATATTACTGAGTAAATACTCAGTTCAGAGCTAGGTCTCAGGTTCTTATACTGTTCCAGAAAGTGTGACATTCTTTGCAGTAAAGGAAGCAAGAGTGTTGGATGAGGGACGTGTTACAGGATATTTCAATGGAGATTTCACTTGGGGGTGGGTGTGATTGAAGACTGAATTTTCCAAGGTGAGTAGGGTCAATGTATCTGCACTCTTAACAACACTTGACCTTGATGCTCAGGGTATTAATTAGAAGACTGTCCTTTCATCAGGGGCCCAATTAAAAACTCTGCAGTAAGAACGAAGACAGAATTCTCATTTATTGGGGAAACAATGTTATAGTGGGTTCTTTAAAGATTAATTTGATCCAAAAGTGGTGCTACATGGTGCTAATATCAACATCATCATACCCAGGGTCTTCTTGTCTCAAGACCAATGGGCAGCCTCTTTTCCCCATGCCAGAGATGGCAGCTTCTCTATCAGACTGCAGAGAGAGGCCTGCAAGGTAAAGGAAAATCTAGTTTCGGTGGTGACAATAAAAAGAATTTTTTGGTAGAAGTAGACGAGTGCACAAAAAGACTACAGGGTATCTGTGAGACCCAGCAACTCTCTGAAAAGGCAAAGCTGCTTCTTCCACTCAGCAACTCTGTGCAAAGTCGTTTCTTGCTCTTTACAACTGCAAGGTATTGGGGCAATGATGGCAATGAGACCAGAATGAACACTCTCACACCCATGTGGTCTGATTTCATTAGGAATAGGGGCAGGAGGTGACTTCAGGAATGATTGGTGATTGAGGAATCTAGGGGATTAAGAAACACCTCCTCAACAAAAGTTGGGGCAACCCAGAAATCTTCAGGAGAACAATCTGGGTTCAGAGCAGAGGACAAAAGGAAGCAGCTCAACCACATCCCATGGCCTCCTGCCCCCCAGGCCCCACATGCTGACACATAAGCAGAGGCCTACTCCTAGGAAGGTGGTTTTTCATCTACAACTGAAACAATGCAAGAAAATTATTTCTTAGTTTCATTCTACAGCTGAGATTTTATCATCCAATTAGGGCCTTTGAACATCTGCATTAATAAGAGTTAATGCCAAATTTAAAGATCTGGATACATGGTTCCCCAATCAAATTTTTCTAGCACTCAAATTTAATTGACACTGCTATTGAAACTTTCCAGAATATGTTCCACAAAATGAAAAAAACCCCAAATTTATTGTCAGATCATAATTCTTAATTTGGAGGATGAAAAAAATGAGAACAAAGCCTCTGCCATTCATAGAGGAATGTCTGTAACGAGATGATGGAGGAAATGGACATGATAACACAGGATGTCTCCTCTCAGAAGAGATGAAATAGACAATATCCAGGAATGCTACATCCAGGTCTAGAGGGCCCCAGATGTTGATAGTGAAGATAAACTATTGACGAGTCCAAATTCATTTTTCTCCAGACAAGGAAATGAGGCTACTGGAGACAGAACTGACACTCACCTGGCTGGGAATACACAGCACCAGCTTCCTCCTCTGCAGAAAAGTAATTCCTACTCATTCCTGGGGAAGTAGGAATTTCAGGAACAGGAAACTCTTCAACATCATCATAACCATCTCCCGTGGTTCTGACAGGCTGTCCCGGAGGCTCTGGAAATGGACAAGGACTGAGGCTGGACTGGGGGGTGCTCGGGCCCTTCTACTGCAGAGATTCTAACAGCTGACATGTATAAGCTCTAGAGTCCAGGGCTGTCTGTGGCCCTGGGATCAAAATATATTTCATCTCACTATTTTCAGAATTATTTGATTCTTCCACATATCCTAGTACACTTTCCTAACATGGTCTCTCATACCAGAAAGCATCAACAAAAGCTATGGTAATATGAAACTAGGTACACATTCAAGCACATGCTATGGAGCTGTAAATATAATATGTACAAATCAGTGTCTTGGAGTGAAAATGGATGAAGAGAACCCACCTTCTCACATGCCTCTGAGTCTCTGGGAAACACAGAGCAGGTAGGAGAAGGATCCTGGGTACCTCTCACTCACAGACAGGAGATCCCTTGTCCTGCACCAAAGAGGGCCTGAGTTTCACTCAGGATTCTCTGACATGTCTCATGTCTTATGCCCAGAGCTAGCCATCATAAACATCTGGGGAAGACCTAGGAGGAAAATTCTCCTCTCTTAGGTCCCTTGTCAATAAGAGCTTCCAGTGGCTGGTAAGTACAAGCAACAGTAGTTCATTTTTTTTAATTATTTATGCATACAAGAACTGGGGTACAGGCCAGAGGTGCAAGGGGTGAGAGGATTCACCAGAGACAGAGTGGGCAACAACATAGGGGAATCTATGAAATCACTGCTGAGGGTAGCAACGGGCAAGACGGGAGAAGTCTGCTGTGCCATGTGGGTTAGCTCCCTGGCAGGGGATCGAACTCATGCTGCACTGGCTTCAGACAACTTCATAATGTTGAAACATAACCCTTTGTGCAACCAGGGAGCCCAGAGCATGCTTTTTTCTTTTTTTTAAAAGATTTATTTATTTATAGATACAAGACTGGGGTACAGGCTAGAGATGTAGGGGTGAGAGGATTCACCAGAGACAGAGTAGGGAACAAAACAGGCAAACTGACTGAAATACACTGCCGAGGGGAGCAGTGGGCTAGACAGGAGAGGTCTGCTGCGCCATGTGAGTAGCTCCTTGGCTGGACAGGGATCCAACTCATGCTGTAGAGGCTGCTGACAGCTTCATAGTGCTGTGCTTAACCCCTTGCGCCACCAGGGAAGTCCAGTCCATGTTTTCTAAGTCCTAGCAATATCAATTTTTGGGGTCTCAGTATGTACATGACCCACCAACATCACACCATCTCCTATGCGAACAACACTTCCCAATGCTCACCATGCAAATTCTCAGAAGGTCAATTTTAGATATTACTGAAAAAAATGGCCTTTGTGTCTATAAGAATTCGATGCATGTCTGCAACTGATTAGAAGTAGCTGTGGATACAGAGAACTAGGTCTGATATTTTCCTTTGTGAGGTGACAGAATGGAGAGAGAGCAAAAGGTTTTTGTGAAGAAGACAGAAGAGAATCCTCCCATCCTCATCACAGAAGTTCTCTTCAGAAGAGATTCCTCCTTCTCATCCCCGCAAAAAAGGGAAAATCTGTGTCTCTTACCTGGGGCAGACCCTGTGTCTCCCTTCTCCTCATCCTCCCCTGTGTAATACGGCAACTTAGTCGCTGAGTCTTCAGACAGGTTTCCTGGTGGGGAGAGAACATCACAGACAGAAATCTTTTGCCATAGTAGGAGGCCCGGTGTCAAGGTTCAGAAGACATGGAGCTTCAGATTTGTAGGGAGAGGCCTAGGAGCTCCTGCCTTGGGAGGAGGCTGAGAGGTTGAGTCTATAAATGTGAAGGAAACCATGGTCAGCCCAGGAACAGCGGGGAGATCCTGGGACACACCTGGGCTGTCCAAAAGGTCCTCCTTATCCGGCAGAGCATAGTTATCAATCTCCTGGTACAAGGTCTCATCTATGACATCTTCGAAAGGAAGTGAGGCTGCAGAAAATGGCACGATGTCAGAGAAAAGTCCTAGAGGCAGTCCCTACACAACAGGCAAGGCACATGGTGCTCTCCCGTGCCAACCCATGGGGGTTCCCTCTGGGCTGCCAGAGCCCCTTCCTGAGCTCTGTGGGACAGAGACAGCTTTCCTGACACTGATTGCGATCCTATACTCAATTCCCACTGACATTGTTCTCACAGTAAGTCATAATTTTTGAGAGGTTTTATATTCAACCAAGGATTCAGCTTTCTCGAATCTTAAAGGCTACTGTAGAGAAGGTGCTTTTTGCCAGACTGTGAGGGTGGAGACAATACTGGGGCACTTTCCTTGGTATCATAACTGGCTTAACACCTCCCACGACTTCCCTTTAGCATCCCCATGGCCGACCTTGGTGCTCTGCTCTCCCTCTGTGCAGCTGTATCCCCAGGATGACCAGGACCAGGAAGAGAAGGGCCCCTAAGATGATGCAGACGATCCCAGTCAGGGAGAAGATGCCCAGGCCTGGAGCTGAGTTTGATCTGCTGCCTGAGGACAGAAGAGGGTTGTGAGGTTGAGAGAGGGTTGTAGGTCCAGGAGAGCCCTTCCCCACCCGCCCTTGTCTTGCTCACCCACTGAGTCCTCATCCATGAAGTTAGCACTCAGATATATGCCAGGGCCTGAACCCAAGATGTACCCATACGGATCCTGCCCTGAGATGTGCCAGTTGTCTTCTGCATCTGTTACTAAGGGGTTTTTATAAAGTGAAGTGGATGAAGTTTGGGGGCATTACGGTTACAAGAGGTAACAGGACTGCAGCACCTGAGTATGGGCCTTTCCTGTGCTCATATGATTAATTTTCCAGAATTATGTAGATGCTACTGCACAGGCCTCTGAAAATGTGTGTGTGCCTCTATCTATGACTCAGAGAAGAAGAAGCACTTACTTCCAAGAGTGGGCTGGATTCTTGTCCTCTCACCTGGAGAGAAGGGGATAGAGGGGTCAACTACTGAGCTGGGTGGGAAAGCCCCAGGTCACCCCAGGTCTGGCACCTTGTTCTCTCACAGCTTCCAAGGCATCAGGCAAGAGCCTCCAGGTGCCAGGCCCAGAGCAGCACGTGAATCCAGGAAGAGCCTCGAGATGCCAGCACATGTCCCCTCTTCCATCCCCAACAGCATCGCCCACTCACCCGAGCACCTCACTCCCGCGTCCTCCTCATGCTTGCAGTCGTTCTGCCCCCAGGGAGCCGCAGGGCACTCCCACAGGGAGGACTCCCCGCCCCTGCACCGCACCTCGTCCAGCCAGATGCTGCCATTTCCAGGGCCAAAGGCCGCCGCCCGCGGGGCGTCCAGCGCTGAGCCACAGCCCAGCTGCCTGCACACCACGTGGGCCTCGGCCAGGCTCCAGGAGTCGTCGCACACCGTGCCCCACGCCCCCGCGTGCCACACCTCCACGCGGCCCGAGCACGCGCTGTCTCCTCCCCGCAGGCGCAGCTTCTCCCTGTCTGCAAGGCCAGGGGACCCCTGTTAGAGTCCTGAAGGAGGAGCCCCAGGTGGACCCAGGGAGCTGGGAGGAGCTGATGTACCTGTGCAGGGGGCTGCAGATGGACAGCTCTTGGGCGTCCTTTCTGTGGAAACAAAGGGGGAGTGTTGGGTCAGCGACAGGAGGGGTGCTCTTGCCCCCCAAGAAGGTCCAATACAAGCAGCTGAAATTAATTTATCTTTGTCTGTCTGTCACTCTCTGTGCTCCACAACTAACACACACACACAGATGGAGCTCTCCTAGAGGAAAGACCCTGCACATCTGACTCACACCTGTGCTCATGCTCTTAGCTCAGTGCCAGGTGCCCCACAGGGCTTCATTCAGCATGTGTGAGTGCAGAAAATTCTGTAAGTACTGGGCAGAGGGGACTGATCAATCGCGCTGAATGAATAGATGACTAAAATCTAGTGAAGTATAGTTTCTTTATTATTTATGAGTAGACTATTACAGAAAATACAAAATCATTCAGCGGTCTGTTGTACTAAAAAGAAGATATTTATAAAATAACACTAGAATCACAGAAATAATTCATGTTCAACACTCCACTTACACTTTTTTAAGGAAAAATTACATAACAGGGGGCCTCCCTGGTGGTTCAAGGTTAAAACGCAACCTATGCAGCTATCCGCAGCCTCTGCAGCATGAGTTCAATTGCCGGCCAGCCCGGGAACAACCCACATGGCACAGCAGACCTCTCCTGGCTCTCACTCTGCTCCCCTCAGCAGTGTATTTCGTCAGTCTGCCTATTCTGTTCCCCACTCTGTCTCTGGTGAATCCTCTCACCCCTCACACCTCTGGCCTGTACCTCAGCTCTTGTATGCATAAATAAATAAATCTTTTTTAAAAATGTATAACAGATCAACCAAGAAAGCTGGGATTCAGATCACTCTTAGAAGTGAGCAAAGCAAAAAGAGAGATCTGGAGACCCAAGGTCTCTGCCCTCTCAGCAGTGACAGTCAAGAGGATAAACCAATTCCTCCTTGTGAGATCTGTTTCTTTGCACCTGCCCACAAGAGGTTGGGAGGTCTCCGCTCTGCTCCACTCTGCTCTGCCTTCCAAGGTCCCCTGCCTCACTCCCCCTATCTTCCTTCTCCTCTTGCCATGACAGAATTTTCTCAAAATCCAGTATTACACTGACCAGGATCATCTTCCACCTCCTCCTGCCAGGACTCTTTCTCATCCTTCCCCTCCATCAAAGCAGGACTTCTCCTCTGGCCCCATGTACACCTTTCCACACATTAATCCTCGTGGCAATGAAACTTCAGCCTAAGGAGAGTTTTCAACTAGGGATTTCCTGCTCCATGAAGGCAGAGATTATATATTCTCTCTTCTCTGTCCTCTGACCTGGAGTGTAATTTTGATTCTACAAGACACAGTTTACTCTCTGCCAGCAGACGGACCAGGAGTCTGACGAGTACAGATGCATTTCGATGCAAAAATTCAGGAGCATATGAGACACAGAGCATGGGGACCTGGCCCTCACTTATTTCAAGGTGTTCAGCATAGCATTTAGCTAGTCCTCATTCACTACAATTCCTTAGATGTTGATCAGAGGATTATTCACACTCCCCACAAATTCAATATAATCACCTGGTATTTTTCACATGCACTGCTGTCAGTACAAGTTTCCTTATACTTTCCTCTAAAACAGGTTTGGAACATATGGATTAAATTATTATCCTACTTCATTTCAAAGACCTAACTTGAACTCATAAGCTGGATTTGAAAATAAACATCACTAGTGACAGCCTATGGGGTGATAACCGACACATACAATAGTCACCTGCGCATGTGATCGAAGCTTCCTCTTCTGAAGAGCACGAACTGTATTTCCAAGGGTCAGAAGGACACTGCCAGAGAGACGTATCAGTTTTCCTACACCGGATTCCATCTACCCACCGGGGTCTAGACCCTTCCCTAACAGCAACCAAAGAGTTGAGGGTCCCACTGTCCCCACAGCCAAGCTGTCCGCAGATCACGGACAAAGTCATGGCATCCATGGGGCTGCTGCACACACTGCCCCAGGTCCTGTTGTAGAAAACTTCCAGCCACCCAGCACATTCCTGGTCCTCGCTGACCATCCTGAAGGCCAGGAACTCTGAAGGAGAAAGGGGGAGACAGGGCACCATGAGCACCCCACTCAGTGCTCTGGGCTCTCTGCAGGAAAGAAACGCTAGATGCTGCTTCCTGACAAACTACAGAATCTGCAAACGCAGGTGTGGTGATTGGGGTGGGGGCAGACAACTCCACCAAAGATGTCTGCATCATGATCCCTGGAAACTGTGCATATCATCACCTAACATGTGTATACGAGACCTTGCATGAAAAGAGACTGTGCATGTTTACAATAGCTAGGCTTTGGAAACAGCCCAAATGCCCAAAAATAGATGACTGGATCAAGAAGATGTGGTACATATATACCATGGAATATTACTCAGCATTCAAAAAAGAGAAACACATGCAATTTGCAGCAACATGGATGGCACTGGAAGGGATCATGCTCAGCGAAATAAGCCAAAAAGAAAAAGAAAAATACCGGATGGTCTCACTCATAGCAGGAATCTAGAAAACTTAAATAAGGGACCAGGAAAATGAATAACTATAAGAAAGTGAAAATCAAAATCAACAAAAAACTATGAACCAGAGACACTTTTTGGGGGGCGGGGGGTGAGGGATTGGGGTCAGAATGGGGGGGTTGCAATTGTATGGGGAATATAAAAATAAAATTTATTATTTTAAAAAAAAAGAAAAGAAAAGAAAAGAGACTGTGCAGATGAACTAAGTGAAAACCTTGGAAGGTTTTAACCTGAACATTGAGGATTAACCAGGTGAGCCAAGTGTAATCCCATGTGGGACCCACTGTCTGTAAAAGTGCTGGTTAGAGAGAGAGAGGTGATTATAGAGAACAGTGAGAGATGTGTAACACTGCTGCTCTGATGATAGAGGAAGAGGGCTCTGCTGTCTCTTTAAGACACTGTGCTCAGTGTCTCCCCCACACCCTCACACTCTACCCCCAGCCCCTGGACAATGTGCAGTGCAGACCTGAGCAGATGACCCCGGCATCCTCCTTGTGCCTGCAGTCATGGCGCCCCCAGCCCCGGGATGGGCACTTCCACACCTGGGACTCCTTTCCTGTGCACTGCAGCTCCTCCAGCCAGATGGGGCCTGATCCCTCACCGAAGTGAGCAGAGACCGTGGCGTTGAGGGCCTCCCCACAGCCCAGCTGTCTGCACACCACGTGGGCATCACGCAGGTCCCAGCCATCATCACAGATGGTGCCCCAGGAGCCCTGGTGAAGGATCTCCACTCTGCCGGCACAGGGATGGGCTCCGTCCACCAGGCGGAGCTGTGTGACGTCTGAGGAGAGAGTCAAGTCAAGGAGGCATCTAACCTGGAAGGAGAAGCTGTCCTGGTCCTGGAAGGCCCTCACCTGAGCAGTTGGCTGTGCCCTCCTCTGAGGGTGCAGAGCCTGCTGGTGGAGACGGGGAGTGGGTGCACATGGGCAGCACCTGGGTCTGGTTTCCTGCAGAACAGTGAGGCCAGAGGGTTTTTGTGGTTGAAGAGCAGAAAATGAATTAAACTACATGATAATCTAGTGGAGAGAGCTGAGATGAACATTTTAACAAAACACTCAAGGCATCACTATTTTATAGTTCACTTTCTCTGTGAAATTGTACCCCCCAAAAAACAATATTTCTGTTTTTAAGACAAATATGAGAATCACTAAGAATGTAGTTAGAAAAGTGGGAATATGGCAATAGTGTTGAAGTGTTGCTGAGCTTCCGGACAGTGAGCATTTTGGAGCCAATGCTCAGAGAGAAGCAAAGAACAGAGTTGAGCCTATTTCCCCTTGAGATCTGTGTCAATTCAACATTATAGATAAATTATAGACATGACTCTGAAAACCTCACAAGTGATTTGAAAGCAGGAGTAGTAAAGTGGGAGATCAGAGGAGAATATAAGGAATAGAGCACAGGAGGAAACACTAGAAAACATGAAAGGGGCACAAGAGATATGGTAAAAGGTTTAAGTCGCATATTTATGAAGTTTTAGATCCTTAGATACACAAATGAAAGAAGGAAATGTGGAATATAAAAATCTATTATCACAGTGAGACATTTCGACATCCTGGTGCTTTTTAAACACATACACAAAATTATTTGCTAAGGTGTCCACTGAGCAGTGAGATCTTTGCCTCATTCCCTTGCATCTCACTGATCTTCATGACTTGCTTAAAGGCAACATGATGCAGTGGAGACAACACTGCTTATTCCCTGCACCAGAACAGAAAAGTTGTGCAGGCTCCCCAGCCCATCTGAGTGCACATGCTTTAGGGAGCTGCTCTGTTCAGCCTGTCTTGGGGAGAGGCCACAGGCAGGGGGTCTGCCATCCTGTCATTGAGCATGCTGGTTCCCAGTTCAGGGAGCTCTGGCATGACTTCAGCCCAGATAACTTCATCTATGTGAAACCACCAGAGAGAACCGCCACTGAGCTTCCCCAAATTACTGACCCAGAAATCACAGAAAAATAAAATGCATTTTTTTTCTGTCGCTAACTTTTTGGGGGAAATTGGTACCATAGCAATAGCAGCCAGAGCACTTATCATGAGATCTAAAAAGGAAGAGAAATGCTTTTCTTCAATTAAGCTTCTCCTACAGAGAATTTAAAATGTGTGTCTGCGGGACATGTGCGAGGATGTTGAGAACATATTCATTCACAGGAGTGATGACTTAATCCTTTGGTGTCAAGGCAGTAGGAAGAAGTAAGAAGGGTTTATTACTACAAGTCTGATGGGCTAGGAGGAACTATGTTGAGGAATAAAGGAATGAAGAAAATGAGATTGGAAAAAGTAAAACAAATGATTGCTTCCCATGATCGTATTTTGAAAAATGTGTATTAAGAAGCCAAAAATGAAAGATGTGTCACAGTAACTGAGACAAAAGCTGTCAGTAGGTATTCAGAATATCTGAATTGTATGATTTGTTTAATCTGACCTCAAAACAGAAGAATACACATTATTCTTAAGAGCATGTAGGCCATTGATCAAAACTGATTGCATGTTATGGTAAATGAGTTCCAAATGTTTTTCAAAGGAAAAACTAAGAGAAAGTCATAAAAATCATATATTTTGACCACAGACAATTAATCTAGAAGCAAAAGAAAACTGGTAAAAAAAATTAAGCTGTATTAAAATGTACTTCATGTACAATGAAACAACAACATTAGGAGTACAGGGGATACATTGTGACAAATACTTGTATCTACATAGCGCACTCTTCACTCATGAGCCAGTTTTCCCACACGCCCTGCTCTTGTTAGGGGGAAAGGATGTCCTGAGCTAATCCCATACAGGCTTTGTGGACTCCACCCCCACTCCCGACCAAAGCCATCAAGACATTGGGAAAGATAAATCCCGTCACCACCAAAGGGAAGGTGGCTGGGACCTGAGGGTGGAGTTAAGCAGCCAGGTTTGGTATAAAACCAGACACGTGGGCCTTGGGGTCGCTCTCCCTCTCACCTCCTGGCTTCACGGCTCTTGGCTCACCGCCAGCTCTCAGCCTGCCATTGGGATTCCAGATCAGTGGAAACGGTAGGAGGCATTTAAGACTTTATCTCCCATTTTTTCTCCCTAAATTGTACATTTCCTCATTTCCCCTGCCCTTGTGAATAAATCTTTTATTAACCTTTCGTGTGTGCCTGCAGTGGAGTATTAAGTCCCTTTTAAACATGTGGGTGAGGACCCACAGTCAGGCAACCTGTTTTATATCGGGGCTGCCCTGTAACACTCTGAAGGACCCGAGCACCCTGAGTGCAGCTAGTCCCTCTCTCACCTGAGCAGATCACGGAGGCTGTGTTTCCAGTCCTGCAGTCAGGAGCACCCAGGGCAGTCACCGGGCAGTTCCACAAGGAGGACTCAGCCCCTGAGCAGTGAAATCGGCCCCACCAGACCTGGTCAGCTCCTCCCCTAGAGTGTGCTCCTTCAGGGATGGACAGGGCCGGTCCACAGCCAAGCTGATGACACACAACATGGGCATTGGCCAGACTCCAGTGGGAGGCGCAGAGCACACTCCAGTGCCCTGAAATATTCATTTCCACCTGTCCCTCACACTGAGAGCTGCCGTTGTTCATGAGCCGGATTTCGGTGTATGCTGGGAGGAGAAGACAAGGGTTCAGCCAAAGCTCATGTGTTTCTTACCCCAACATAGTAGGCAGGGAGGGTGAATCCTGCTCGGGTCTCACCTGCGCAGACAATGTGAACAACCCCGCTGTGGTGACAAGTGCCTCCAGGACAGGGCACCCTGCGACACAGCCGGAGCAGAGGCTCCTGCCCTTCACACCAGAACTCCTCAGCAAACATCAGTCCATCTGACTCTCTGAAGGGCACGCCCCCCAGGACAGATGCAGCCTTGCCACACCCCAGATCTGCACAGATGACCTGGGCAGTGAGGGATGTGAAGTTCCTGTCAGACACTGGAGTCCATTCTCCTCTGGAATGCACTTCTACTCGCCCTGAGCAGGGCCCAACCCCTCCAGCCAGACGAACAAATCCTAGAGAAAAGAAAAGTGAGTGAGTGTTCACAACCCCATAGTTCTACCACCAAATCACCCGTGCACCATCACATAGAGCCTTGTCTCTTCCTTCCCCTGTTTTTACCTCTCTCTCCCCAACCCCTGCTGTGGCCTCAGATACTTTGGTGTCCTTTCTGTATTTATTGGAATGTACATGTAATTTGTACACAACTGAGGTCCAGGGAAGAACCTGGCTGATGTGGACCTCCTCCCTCAGCTCCTGACAGGCCCCTCTGAAGAGAGTGAGTGAAATGTCAGGGCGAAGACTGGGCTCTCACTGACAGCGCCTGTCCAGCAACGTGTCTATTTACTAGATATCATTGCCACTATCTGACCTTTGAATGAAAGGTCAGGATAAGGTTCTAAAAATCTGGCTCAGTACGTGAAATGGCAGGGGGAGAAAAGACAGTTTTACCAACAGTCACTGAGGTTGGAATTAAACCATTTAACGTAACACCACACAATCCCAAAGAACCAAATAAGGAAAACTGAAGGTAACAAAGCCCCCTTATATTTTCAGTGCACTGTAGAGAACTGGCCTTCATCTGGATCATAAATTTGAAGAGATGAAGACACACTGTTACTTCAATCAGAAGGATTAGAGGCACCCAAACCCACAACGAAAAATGTGTGGCACTTTTATTGATAATTATCATTGTGTTTACAAAAGACACATTAACCAAAACAAAGAGACACCCCACTGATTGGGAAAAAATCTTTGCACTCCATATAACTGACAAGGGACTGATCACAAAGATATACAAAGACCTTGCACAACTCAACAAAAACAAAGTAAAACTCCAGACAAGAAATAGGCAGAAGAACTTAAAGGACACTTCTCCTGGAAATGCAAATGGCCAACAGGCATATGAAAAAATGTTCAACATCCCTTATCATCAGGGAAATGCAAATCAAAACCACAATGAGATACCACCTTACACCAGTAAGAATGGCACATATCAAAAAAACAAGCAACAACAAATTTTGGCGAGGATGTGGGAAAAAGGAACTCTCCTATATTGCTGGTGGGAGTGAAAACTGGTCCAACCACTGTGGAGAGCTGTATAGATGTTCCTCAATCTCTTAAAAATGGAGCTACCATATGACCTGGCAATTTCACTCCTAGGGATCTACCCAAAGGACACAAAACCATTGATTCAAAAGAGCACCTCTACGCCTATGTTTATTGCAGCACTACTTACAATAGGTAAAACCTGGAAACAAGCCAAATGCCCAAAAATGGATGACTGGGGCCTCCCCTGGAGGCGCAGCGGTTGAGCGCTGGGGTGCAAAGCTGCCCGCAACTTCTGCAGCGCCCGTTCTTATCCCCGGCCACTAGCGAGAGTCCCAGATGGCACGACAGACCTCTCCTGCCACGCCCGCTGCTCCCCTCAGCAGTGTATTTCATCAGTCTGCCTGTTCTGCACCCCACTTTGGCTCTGGTGAATTCACTCACCCTCCCGTGCTTCTGACTGTACCCAGTGCTTGTATAAATAAATAAATATATCTGGGAAAAAAAAGGTAAAAAAAAATGGATGACTGAACAAGAAGATGTGCTATATATATATACACAATGGAATACTATTCAGCAATCAAAAAAGATAAATTAATGCCATTTGCAGCATCATGGATGAGCTAGAAGGAATTATGCTCAGTGATATAAATCAGAAGGAAAAAGAAAAATATAGGATGATTTCACTTATCGGAGGATTATAGGGGAATGAAGTAAGACATCAGGGGAAAAAAATTAATAACAATAAAAAACACAAAAAAACAAACAAAAACAAGCAGACAATCATAAACCAGACACATCCTGCACAGGAGGAGGAAGGAACGTAGGGAGTGAGGAGTACAGGGGACTGAGGTGATGGTGCACAGGTGAATTGGTGGAGGAAATTCTATAGGAATTACACCTGAGTGGTGGGGGGAAGCAAACATTGTTTAAAAATTAACAATGATGTAAAATATACATAAATAAATAATTTTTTAAAATAGCAATGTCTTTAAATACATGTAAATAATACTGGAGATGCACAAGCACTTTCTCCTTATTTTAGCCCAGAGAAGCAGAACTCAGGGAGGTTCTGTCAGAGAGTGACTATTTCAGGATTATTGAGTGGTGATGTAGCTGCTTTGGTGAATGTTTCATGCTCCGCACAGCAGCTCCATGTCCCAAGTTCCTGCAAAGCAGCTCATCTTCCTTCAGGCCCAGTGTAAAGTATATGCCTGGTCCTCTCCCCTTGGTACTAAGCCCATACTCTTGTCTCATAGGGGTGATCCCACTTTCCAATGCAGCCCATGTGAAAGAGAGATATCACCTGAGCCATAGGTGGGATCTCAGGTCTAACCTGAGGAATCTATTCTCTGCATCCAAACCTGAGTTGGGAGAACCCCAGTTTTGCACACCTCACCTTCAGCTTAGGGTTATTTTGGTCAGAGGACATTCCCCTCTCACTATTAAGGCCTTAGGATTTGGTTTTCTCTAGAGAAGCAAGGCAGCAAGGGTGACCTGATTGGTTGTCACCACCTTTCTTTCCTTATTCCTTCCCCTCTGACCAAGATGTCTCCTCTGTCCTCCCTGCAGCTGTGACTCATCTGCTTCAAAACCAATTCTCAAGGCCCCTGACCAGCAGCTGTGCCTGCCTCTGATCCTTCCGGGTCTTCATCCATGCCTCCAACCTCTGACTGTTCTATTGGAACAGAGCACTGGGTGCCTGAGATGTGGGAAATGTCTCCACAGGATGTGGCATTTGGCCACCAGGGAGCCACACAGATGAGGTATCTTCTTTGAACACAAAACTCATCCTCCACCTTGGGACAATGGGGCTGCTCTGCACCTTGAAAGCCAGAGGTGGTCATGGTGACCTTCCCCTCAAGGGCAAAAGGGCAAGGAGAGTCAGTCACAGGAAGTCCAGAAATGGGCCAAGATTCAGCCTTTAATTGGGAAATGATGAAATGGAGACAGGGCAGCTTCAGAGGAGGCATCTCCAAACTCAGCACAGGATTGCTACCTGGGTAGAGAGAGGCCATATTGAGATGCCCCTTCATATTGTTGATTCAAAATACAATTGTCATTTCAGAGCTGTTCTGAAATGCTGGGAATGTGAATGCTGGGAATGTGAATTATAATAAATCAATGTTCTTTTCTCTTCAGGAGGTTACATGTAGTAGAGGAAAAATAACCAGTAGACAGATTTAAGACTTTTGAAAAGATTAGGAGATGCCTCGACAGCAAAATGCAAGGAGGGTGCTTCAGAAGGCAATTTATTTATATGAATCAACCCCACCTCAGGCAAAATGAAAGTTGTGGTCAGACACATCCTTGTCTGGCTTCATGCTGTAAAGATACCCATGTCCTCAGGCACAGATGGCATCTACACACCCCTGCATCCTCATGCTGCTCAGGGAACCCCTTATGTGTCTTCTCAGCTCCCCAGCATTCCCCTCCCTCCTAGCTACTTTAAATTGCTTCCTACTCCTTTTTTTATTTTTTATATATTTATTACATTTTTTTTCATTTTTACACAATGTATGCATTTTCATCTTGGTTATATTCCCCATACAACTGCACCCCACTTATTTTGACCTCATTGCCTCCTCTCCCCTCGCCCCCGTAGTGTGTCTCTGGTTTATAGTTGCCTGTTGATTTTGATTTTTTCTTTATTATAGTTATTCTTTTTCCTGGCCTCTTATTTAGGTTTACTAAATTACTACTATGAGTGAGACCATCCAGTATTTTTCTTTTTCTGTCTGACTTAATTCACTGAGCATGATCCCTTCTAGCTCCATCCATGTTACTGCAAACTGCATGTGTTTATTTTTTTTGTTTGCTGAGTAATATTCCATTGTGTATATGTACCATATCTTGTTGATCCAGTCATCTATTTTTGGGCATTTGGGTTGTTTCCAAAGCTTAGCTATTGTAAACAGTGCTGCTATAAACATAGGGGTGCAGATGCCCTTTGGAATTAATGTTTCTGTGTCCTTTGAGTAAATATCTAGGAGTGGAATTGCTGGATCATAAGGAAGCTCTATCTTTAGTGGGTTAGGAATCTCCACACAGCTTTCCATAGTGGTTGGACCAGTTTGCACTCCCACCAGCAGTGCAGGAGAGTTCCTTTTTCTCCACATCCTCGCCAACATTTGTTGTTGCTAGTTTTTTTTTTAATATGCGCCATTCTCACTGATGTGAGATGGTATCTCATGGTAGTTTTGATTTGCATTTCCCTGATTACAAGTGATGTTGAACATTTTTTCATATGCCTGTTGGCCATTTGCATTTCCTCTTTGGAGAAGTTTCTTTTTAGCTCTTCTGCCCATTTTTTGACTGGATTATTTTCTTTGTTTTTGTTGAGTCTCATCAGCTCTTTGTAGATTTTTGTGATCAGTCCTTTATCATTAGTGTGTGGGCAAAAATGTTCTCCCAGTTGGTGGGTTTCTCCTCGTTTTCATTATTGTCTCTTTTGCTGTGCAGAGCTCTTTAATTTGATGTAGTCCCAGCTGTTTATCTTTGCCTTCACTATCACTGCTTCGGGTGATGTGTCTGTAAAGATGTCTTTGAGGTGCATGTCATGTAGTGTTTGCTTCCTACTCCTTAAAAAATTTGTTTCTTCCCTCAATCCATTCTTCTCAAATACCAAAATGCAATTCATTTTGGGGCAATGCAATAAAATAAATCTATGTAATTTCTTTCCAAAAAACACACAGACTAACATTTTATTTCCTTCACTATTGAGTTGTCAGAGCATGGCTACTTAACCTCCAAATTTGAGTTTACACAAGTGTCTTGAAAGAAAATAGAGTGTATTCTCCAGTAGCAATGAGTGAGACTATGACCCAAATTATTTCATCTATAGCTTTTTGGTTCTACTGGCAAAAGAACAATGAATATCTATGCTTAATTTTAGAAAGGAGACATGAAATTTGGCACAAATACAATTCTCTGATTTGTTCAGTGATAACCCCTGGGTCTCTAGAGCTCTTACTAAACCAGTAAAACCAGATCTCGCTCTATCCATACAGAAACTATTAACCAGGAATAGTGCATCCTCATTCTGTTTCTCCCAATAATAGTCTCACTATACAAAAGGAGTTAGTGTGGAGATTTACATAAGTTTACTCTTACAAAAAGTAAATTTTGAAAGAATCATGAGTAAGTTTTAATCAGGATGATAATAGATTAAGTTCTTTTGTCAGGTAAGACCAATACAGAAAGAAGGATGAGCAGTTTCTTTAGGAGTAAAGGATGCTCATCATTCACAGAAGCTTTTTGCCCTCAGGACTATGGAGAGATGGGATGTGTCTCAGACCTCTCCAGCCATCTATCTCTGCTGTCCCAACAGACACCAGCCTCCTAGGAACTTTCCATTCCCGCAGCCCCTGAAAATGCACTGATCATACCTGAGCAGATGACTCCTGCATCCTCGGTATGTTTGCAGTTGTGTTTCCCCCAGCCCTGGGACTGGCACTTCCACACGTGGGACTCCTTTCCTGTGCACTTCAGATCGTCCAGCCAGGTGGGCCCTGATCCCTGCCCGAAGTGAGCAGAGACTGTGGCCTCCAGCGCCTCTCCGCAGTCCAGCTGTCTGCACACCACATGGGCATCACGCAGGTCCCAATAATCATCACAGATGGTGCCCCAGGAGCCCTGGTGAAGGATCTCCACTCTGCCGGCGCAGTGATGGCCTCCGTCCACCAGGCGAAGCTGCCGGCTGTCTGCGGAGAGAGTCAGGTCAAGGTGGGGGGGCGGCATGTAACCCGGAAGAGGAAGGCTGCCCTGGTCCTGGGGGCCCTTGGCCTGAGCAAATGGCAGTGCCCCCATCTGAGGCTGCAGAGCCTGCTGGTGGAGGCGCTGTGCTTGCTCTCAGCAGCACCTCGTTTCCTACAGCAACAAGCAGCACAATAGAGTTGAAAATAGGAAAGAACAGGAGAAAGGGAGCTGAAAACAACTAGTGAGCAGTCGGAGAGAGCAGGTGTGACCAGGTCCCGTCAGAGGAACCCTGATGTAGAGTCTACACGGCGTCTGACATGGTGTCCCGAGATGTCAGAATCTCTGCCCTGAGCAATTAAATGAGTGCAGAGTGGCTGTAGAGGCTTACTAGCTGGTGGCTTCCTTATAAATTACACACATTTCAATGCTATTGAATAAAGGGAACTGTTGGGAGCTTATCAGAATACTCTGGAGCAGGCAGGAGACCCGTTCCAGTCAGAGCAGCTTTAGCTATCACAGCTGAAAAATGAAGGCACATGAGACAGGCAGGGATTTACCCAGAATATTTCATTTATGATTCTAAGCTCCAGAATGAACTTCTCTTTGAGTAGACAGGGCCACCTCACTGGAGAGATGATGGAGATGAGACTAACATGGCCAGAGACAATGGGCATCACACATCTGCTTCTTCCCTGAGACAGTATAATCTCTAATTGAACTTCATGTCAGGAATTGCTATTATTCAAAATTTGGAGTTATTCAGAGTGTAAGAGAAAATATAATGTATCTCTAACCCCACCACAGAGTAGAATCAGGTTATATTTCTGAGCTGAAAACACTCAAACAGATTTGACTTCTCTGTCATTTTCAGTTGCTGTATTATTACTTTCTCCTTTTTATATACAAAAAAAATTGCACTGAGAAGTTCAATAATGTGACATTATTGCAATTTAAGTAAGGATGAAATAGAGAATAAAACCTAGAACTTCTAAAAATAAAATAAAAAATAAATAAAATAAAAAATGGGGCAGTTGTAGATTTTATTCTCCATTCCATGACTGACTTAAAGTAAGCGCTGACACTCAAATGTGATATAGGTATTCTTGAGGATCATGCCCATAGAGCAGGTTTTCTTGCAAATATTTGCCCAGTGTACATGTTGTTCAGGATAGGAGGCCAAAGAACTGTGTCAAAACTCTTGGAAAGCAGAGTGGCTAGTCCTTTATTCTCTTGGTGCGGAGCTACCAATATATCCAGGCTCTCAGCTGAATTCTGAGATCCCAGAATGCCCTTGCCATAGGCACAGAGACAGGCAGAGGTAGACTAATGTCACCCAAACTGCCAGCAAGTGTCATCCCAGCTCAGGTCTGGGTTACAGTTAGATATCTGGGTGCTCATCAGCCCCTACTCCGCCTGCCTAGCTAAACAGGAGATGATAATTCCAGGTGACAGAAAAGATATCTAGAGCTTCTTATTTTATCATACACAATTTTTAATATTAAATATGAAGTGAGATTTGAGCCCATATAGAAAGATGGGCTCACATGACATAGTGAAAAGGAAAGCAATATAAGAAAAGTTAGAAACACACATAGCATATGAGAGTTTTAACTATGATTCATGAATTTAGTAAAAAAAAAAAAAAGGGGGGGGAGAAGACAAGACAGTCAAAAATGAAAAGAACTTAACATAGAATTCTAAATATATTAAAGATATCAAAGTAACATTTGCCAACTGAAGAGGAGGACAGACAGAGATAGAAACAGTGAAGTTATATTTAAAGAGATAATGGTTGAGAAATTTTTAAAAAATGATGAAAGCTGTAGCTCACATTTTCAAGAAGCTCAGAGAATACCAAGGAAGATATGAACAGCCCAACACCTTGCAAAGCTGATAAAAATTATAGCAGAGGAATATCATTGTTTAATTTTAAAAATAGAGGCCTAAAAATGGAGAGAAAGGGCATGTAGAGCAGGTGAGTCAATTAAGAGTAAATGGCACATCATCCTTCCAAAAGCAATATACAGATTCAATGCTATTCCAATCAAAATTTCAATGTCATTCTTCAAAGAAATAGAACAATTATTGATGAAATTCATATGGAATCACAAAAAACCCCGAATAGCCAAAGCTCTCATAAAAAAAAAAAGAAGGGAATGGAGGCATCACACTCCCAGACTTCAAACTCTACTACAAAGCCATAATCATCAAAACTGCATGGTATTGGAACAAGAACAGACATACAGACCAATGGAATCGAATAGAAAATCCAGAAATAAACCCACAGATTTATGGTCAACTAATCTTTGACAAAGGAGCAAAGACTATGCATTGGAGCAAAGAAAGTTTGTTCAATAAATGGTGCTGGGAAAACTGGGTCGCTACATGCAAAAGAATGAAGCTTGACCACTACCTCACACCATACACAAAAATCAACTCAAAATGGATTAAAGAACTAGACATAAGAACTGAAACCATAAAATACATAGAAGGAAATATAGGCGAAACACTACGGGATTTGCACATCAAAGACATCTTTACAGACACATCACCCAAAGCAGTGATAGTGAAGGCGAAGATAAACAGCTGGGACTACATCAAATTAAAGAGCTTCTGCACAGCAAAAGAGACAATAACAAAAACAAAGAGAAACCCCACCAACTGGGAGAACATTTTTGCACCCAACACTAATGATAAAGGACTGATCACAAAAATCTGCAAAGAGCTGATGAGACTTAACAACAACAAAGAAAAGAATCCAGTCAAAAAATGGGCAGAAGAGCTAAAAAGAAACTTCTCTGAAGAGGAAATGCAAATGGCCAACAGGCATATGAAAAAATGTTCAACATCACTTGTCATCAGGGAAATGCAAATCAAAACTACCATGAGATACCATCTTACACCAGTGAGAATGGCACATATTAAAAAAACTAGCAACAACAAATGTTGGCGAGGGTGTGGAGAAAAAGGAACTCTTCTGCACTGTTGGTGGGAGTGCAAACTGGTCCAACCACTGTGGAGAGCTGTGTGGAGATTTCTGGACCTACTAAACATAGAGCTTCCATATGATCCAGCAATTCCACTCCTAGGTATTTACCCAAAGGACACAGAAACATCAATTCCAAAGAACACCTGCACCCCTATGTTTATAGCAGCACTGTTTACAATAGCTAAGCTTTGGAAACAGCCCAAATGCCCAAAAATAGATGACTGGATCAAGAAGATGTGGTACATATACACCATGGAATATTACTCAGCATTCAAAAAAGATAAACACATGCAATTTGCAGCAACATGGATGGCACTGGAAGGGATCATGCTCAGCGAAATAAGCCAAAAAGAAAAAGAAAAATACCGGATGGTCTCACTCATAGCAGGAATCTAGAAAACTTAAATAAGGGAACAGGAAAACGAATAACTATAAGAAAGTGAAAATCAAAATCAACAAAAAACTACGAACCAGAGACACTTTTAGGGGGGCGGGGATGGGAGGGGAGGGATTGGGGTCAGAATGGGGGGGCTGCAATTGTATGGGGATTATAAAAATAAAATTTATTATTAAAAAAAAATATGAACACTAAGAAGGGAGTTTCCCTTAGTTTAAATAAAAACTCTTACTTTTATAGACAAAAAAAAAAAGAGTAAATGGCACATATTAAAAATATCAGCAATTGTTTAAAGTAAATGGATCAGATACTCAATTAAAATCAAATCAAGATAAAACGACAAAATTCAAGTAAATGTTACCTGTATAACATACAAAATAAAATGATGGAAAAATATATATACATTGTAAATATTGTTTAAACACACATTGGATGAGTATACTTTAGACCAGATGAAAAGCGGTAGGTGACTGGGAAGATAAATCCAAAATATTCTGTGTCTCTGTGCTATGAGACAAGCCTCTTTAAAGCGGGACTTCACATTCAGAAAGTATGACAGGGAGCAGCAGGTCCTGACTGCATGTGCCGAGCTCAGGGAAGACTCAGTGCTCTTTGGCACCTGACACCAGGGCTGCAATTAAACAAGGAGATGGAACAACTCGTGTGCACTGATGCCTTAATATGTGAGCCTGTGCTTGAGTCATACACTCTTTTTTTTTTTTTAATTAATAAATTTTATTTTATATTCCCCATACAATTGCAATCCCCCCATTCTGACCCCAATCCCTCCCCTCCCGCCCCCCACCCCCCAAAAAGTGTCTCTGGTTCATAGTTTTTGTTGATTTTGATTTTCACTTTCTTATAGTTATTCATTTTCCTGGTTCCTTATTTAAGTTTTCTAGATCCCTGCTATGAGTGAGACCATCCGGTATTTTTCTTTTTCTTTTTGGCTTATTTCGCTGAGCATGATCCCTTCCAGCGTCATCCATGTTGCTGCAAATTGCATGTGTTTATCTTTTTTGAATGCTGAGTAATATTCCATGGTGTATATGTACCACATCTTCTTGATCCAGTCATCTATTTTTGGGCATTTGGGCTGTTTCCAAAGCTTAGCTATTGTAAACAGTGCTGCTATAAACATAGGGGTGCAGGTGCTCTTTGGAATTGATGTTTCTGTGTTCTTTGGGTAAATACCTAGGAGTGGAATTGCTGGATCCTGTGGAAGCTCTATGTTTAGTAGGTCCAGAAATCTCCACACAGCTCTCCATAGTGGTTGGACCAGTTTGCACTCCCACCAACAGTGCAGAAGAGTTCCTTTTTCTCCACAACCTCGCCAACATTTGTTGTTGCTAGTTTTTTTAATATTGTCTCTGAGGAGAAATCATGCTTGTCGAGTGAAGAGTGGTTTCTTCTTGATAAAATGTATTCATTGCTCTCAAGCCAGAGAGGCCAGAATGGAAACAGCACCAATTGTGTATTTCATTTTCAGAATGCACTTCTACCCCTAATAACTTGCACAGTCTGCAAGGGACAGCTGTCCTCACAAAGGGTCATATTGCTAGGAATGGAAGATTCAGGAAATGTAAGAGAGGAGCAGACTCCTATTGAGAAGAGAATTT